TCAGAGTTGATGAAGCGCAGCACAGAATTTTCGTTTGTCTATGGGTTTGGTGTTTGGGTTGGGTGATTTTCTTTTTTAAAAAGATCCTTGGATTAAATCTTGGGCAAATAATTTTTACCTATTTATTTTGGAGATTTGTGTCTCAAATATTGCCAGATCTATGTAATCTCAAGATGTTGTCAGTGATTTTACCAATTGTAGGTGATTATTTGATATCATACGTGATATAGAATGTCCTGCTTCCTATGTGTCCTTATAAACTTTTGTTATACCTAGGCTAAGTCGAACAACCGATGGGAAATCGAATCTAGCCCAGGCCTACATTTTCGGGATAGTTTGGGGGTATATATATTCCACACGCGCAAAATCCAAAGGGCCATGCACCCAGACTCATGAGCAGCTACAGTTACACTGGGTGTGGAATCAGTTGTGCCTTACTGATACGCCCGTGCCAGACTCTTCGGAGCCGGAGCTTTGTGTTTGTGTTTTTCTTTTTGTGGTTTTGGTGTACGTACGCGTGCGCGTGGTGGTGGTGGTCGTAGTGGTGGTTGTGCACTAGCGGCGACAAGCCCCATCTAAGCCTCGGTCGGCTAGATGATGGCCGAACGAATAGTGTGACGAGTGATAAGATGTGATCCACAGAGACCTAGCTAGACGTCATTAAACGGGGCGTTCAACCACGTACTCACTCGGACTCCCCTATAACCGGCAAAAAGATGATCTAATCAATCATAATCTACTCCTGTGGGGTATCCGAGTGAGTGGTGGACAGTATGTAGTACTAGAAGTGTCACAATGCCGTTAGTGAAAAACCAAAATACCAATTTCAGGTTGAAAAGATACTACCCATTTCTTAATCTTGACAACTTGAAAGGGAGAGAAAAATCGCTCGGAAGCTAATATATAAGCTCAGCGCCCCTTATATACGGTGGTCTAGAGTACATACCTCAGAACTACACGTAAGCACCATCTAGATCTGATTACTGCCTAGATAATTTCCAATATGAGAACGAAAATCGCTCAGATATTTTATAAGCATTTCAGTCAAACTGGAGCATAGTAACTGTCTAAGGTTTATTTTGGCGCTTTAATTTTCTATTATTACTTGCTGGATTTCGATCGCGATCAGCTATACTATGTAATTATTAATTTACTGCATGTATGCATGTAGTTAGCAAGAATAATAGGCAGCTATTATAGTAAGATCGTTACGTTGCCTGAGTTCTTGTCCGCGACGTTATGCAGGTTACTAGAAATTATTATCCCTCGGCCTAGATATTAAATGGCGTCCTAGATGTTAAACGTGAAATATCCATGGTCAGTAGGTACGTACGTGCTAATTATTGAACGCCGTCGTCAGAAGTACATTAGACATGTACTGTGGTGTACACGACCAAAGATATTATATTAAGACATTTGAAAAACCCAGTATGCTAGCTTGCTCAAAGGGAACCGTGGTCTTAATATTAATACCACACTCTAAGTTAATCAGGCCAGACTTTGATGACCGGCTCCCCACTATATACTGCGCACTGACTTGAACAGTCACGATCAAGCCCTCTTTGACTCCACCTGATTGAAAGAAAGTAGTCAACGTTAATAATATCTTATCTGGAACTTTCGGATCCTAATCTATCCAACTGTAGCTGTGTCATCCCCTTCAGGGCGCTAGGGGGGAAGAAAAGATAAACTACAAAAACTGAACACTAAACGTTGCTAAGACACAAAGCCGATTTATCTGCATGAATACCCCACGATCATTATGGGGCCGGCCGGGGCCGTTGTTCACAACCAATTGAACAGCCGCTATATATGATATTATCATATTCATTGCAAAATTGTGGAACTTACAGCATAGTAAGGGCTGTGTCTTCTTTGCTAAGTATGGCCGGTCCAGCCTCGAACAGCATCTTCAATCGCCTAACTCCGATCTACTGATTTAAAGGTTTAGATTTCACGTCTTAATAAAAGTCTCTGGTATACGTTTAGTTGGGGTATTCCTCATGCTCAGCCGCGCGCAGGGAATGCGCATTTCGGTATCTTCGCAGTAGATACAGCCTCGCTTACTATTGGCCTCGATTGAATAATTGTGCGTTGCACGACTAACGCTTTAGTGTAACGTTTATCTAGCCTAGGCTGCGCAAATATGGGGCACTGGCTAATTGACAGGTGTTTTAATTGTAAGCTTCATCTTAGTCCTACACACCAATCAGGTGAAGCTTTCAATATTCTCTAAGGAGAGAAACACACGACTGGAAAATAATTGTCAGAACACTACTATAGAATTCGAATCACAGCTGGATTAATCTTGTAGAATATATTTCCAGCGCATAGAGAGAATCCAGCTGTCACATTGATCGATATAAATCAATCAACTCAATCAATTGATATCTCTCTTATATTAAAAATCTTAAGCGCTCTCTGTCTTTCAAATGCAACCCAAAAATAAAATGCGGTTCCGTCTGGTTTTTGTCTTTTCTGCTTTCTTACTCGCAGCTGAGGTAGAGGTAGTCTATATTCGCTGTTTTATAAAGCTCAGTTGTCAAGGCTGGTAGCTAGTGTATCTGCTGGTACATTCTGCAGATTTTCCATGACGATAAAGGCTTCCATATCTTCTATGCATTGGAGCCTTCCTTATGACTCGTAATTATCCCCATTGATCCTCCAATAATATGAAATGATCTGTGTTTGAGCTAATTAACCCATGGCTGTGAAGTAAAGGTAGCAATACTAGTGGGTACCGTATCGAAACCAAAGTTGTAAAGGAGCTGGATATCCAGCGGTCCACGGGCCGCGCTCCAATTCTTACTGGAATCATTGCGGGCAGCGTGGACCTAGAATTTTACCCCAGCTTCTAAGGCAGACACCGCTCAAAACTAACCCCCACAACCATGATCTGCACAGCCATCCGTTTCTCCAAGTGGCAACAAGATTTCTGTTTCTGGAACCTCAAGCGCGATTTTGAATCACGTCAAAGTGAAGATACTTTCAGAGAAATTCAAAGGACTGTATCTATCCTGATATTCTTGTTTATCCTTCTACTCCAGATACTGGGCAGCCCGTTATCCGTTTCTTACCTGAGCAGGCTGCAGGTGTTGCTGAAGCTGTGGACGGGGTGATACTCATGCTTCGGGAAGATATAGGGTTTTCCGGGGTACGGATTTCCTAATGAAGAGTGTGATACTGATAAAAGATTATTTGGTACTATAAGAGAGCTTGATATCAGCCTTCGGTGGATACATATGGGCTGAGCGAAACAGGTACATACAACTGCCGTGCAAGGATGAAAATTATGTTAATGAGTCAAGTAGTAAGCTTGCCTAGCTGGCCAGTAGCAGAATCAGAGCCTTATCCCACAAGCTATGGAAATGTGTTTTTTTAGACCCTATTCTCAAAACACGGTCGGTTGCCCCGTCTAAAAACGTTTCGTTTCAACAGGTAAAATAGCCGCGCGCGCACATTAGCCCAATCATATCCCCTCACTCGTGGGGTTAGGGTTAATCTGCATGATCGTGCATGAAATCCCTCAATTTTTCCACAACGGGATGAAATTAACAACAAGCTAGATGTGTCATACATGAAGAGCCCCACCGAAACATACCTATAAAAAAAAGAGAACACACCTCCCTAGCCGGCCTTAAGCAATTCAAACAAGCAACGATGCGTGTTCCGCAAACAATTAATAGTCGATATCTAACGGCGGATCAACTGAGGTGGCTCTTGGTACGTTTATTTGGTGCGGGAAATTTTGCTGCTGAGGTATGTTCTAGTATCAACCATCCTCGTCCGTCCCTTTCCCCTCACATGATAGACACAGTTGAGAGATGGGGGGCTGTGATTTTGACCGTACGGATAGGGCTGACTTTTCTCTAGCTTCAGAGCGGGGAGTGGAAATGTCAAGTTCCTCGTAAAGTCACGGACGTAGGTACCAGGTTGTCCGTTAGGTTAGTTGGGGGCTGGTGCACGGGTAGATGGCTAATGAGTTACCTACACTGCAGGAGGAGATCTGGGAAGCGCAGGAACATTGAGTATGAGTTGATGGGCACAAGGCGGCGCGGCAATAGGTACATGAAATAGGTATGCAGGTTCATTAATGCTCATGCTCTTTGTTCTCTCCCCTGAGCTTCTCCGTCTGATGTTTTTTACCAATACCAAGGTTCAGGCTGACGTTCTTTCCTTTTCCCCCTCTTTCTTTCCGTGGCACTAGTTACAGACGTTTTGTCCTCTTAGAATTTTGAGTTATTCGGAATGGTGATAGTCAGATGGGGGATCTGTCAGAGGGTTGATCCAGCAGCACTGCCTTCGGTGTTGTTGCCTGAGGGATATAGTCACAAGGGATTAGTATGGTAGATTCATAGGGAGATCAGGAGGTTAGTTACTATGAGAAATACGAATACGTCTCTACACGTACAAGAACAAAACCCATGCACGGGCCACTTAGTGTTCAATGTTGGATCTCGCACCTCTCAGTCCATGTTCGCAATGATCTCATAGCTAGCTAGTCGAGCCAGAGCCCAGAGAAAATATTTTTCTGCCCTCTCATCTCGCGCCTTTAGCTGCGGACCATCACCCGCCGCAGGAGTTATCCCGTCGTTGCCACTTTCTTGCGCCTCGACCTTTTGTATGGGGACAGCCGTTGGGATTCGTTGATTGGGGCAGTGGCGAGCTGAAAGGGGCGGGGTAGGAAGGGTTCCACGATCCCCTGTCCTACTCGACGAGGCTCTGCGCCACGAATCTGTCAGGGCTCAGCGACAACAGTGCACTCGGATCGTGTTTTGATAAAACGGCCCCTCTCTGCACAATTTTTGAATTCAGATCTTCAGTCTACTCAAGCGGGTCAGTCAAGCGAAAATTCGATATACAGGCTATATTCTATTATTTAGATCTAATACACATATATCCGCTACTACATACACCGGTGGATCTTTGATTTACCGCGTATACACCTTACCTTACAACCAAACATCCAACTTTTAATTACCACCTCTATTACTATCAATATGGCAGCAGCAGCAGCAGCAGACAAGGGATGGGAGAGCTACCCAAAACGTTTACTCAACTATGACCCACTACGCGAGGACGGAGTATCCTACGATGCGCGACTTGCCAAGGATAACAAACGTCTATTTACCGAAAAGGGAAATATCAACGTGGATGTTCTTGATATCTTTCGGGACGAGTTTGCCGCAGATAACAAGAAGCCTGTTACATACCAGGATACAGATGCTTTTGAGGAGTGCCTTACTAGCGTGAGTTCTACTATGGCAACTACGAAGCGAAGCAATTACTAATATCTGTAAAATAGTCACCACCCAATAGGGAATTCAGATTTTATACATTGAAACCAGCGAACCCAAATGTGATATCAAGGAGTCGTGTAGCTATCCCAGAGGACACCCTGAGGAAGCTCTTGACTGTGCATCAAGTTATGCCAGGGTTTATCGACTTTCTTCAGGCATTTGGAAGGAAGGCTAGCTCCAGCGATACTGGCTTTGGAGGTTGCAAAAGACGTATTGAATATGCTACGCCAAACAGCAGCAAGCAGAGAAACATGAAATCATATGGTATGTGGATCATTCGTGTGGAGGATGTCTATTACAACGGGACTAACGGCTATGCTTCAGAAATATGTTACAATATCAAATTTGCTGAAGAGCACGGACGAAAAGAAAAAGAGGATGAGCCACCAAAGGACCCTTGGTCAATACGACAAACATGCATCTATCAGAAATTCGAATATGAGAAGAAATCAAGCACATGGATCATGGTGCAGCCCTCAGACAAGGCTACAACCAGACTGAACGAGGTCTTCAAGGCCAGAGCAGAGGAATACATCGAGGACACTGTGCACAATCCTATGGATATTCACTTGGTGTTTCTCTCAGGCGCAGCTGAGAACTGGAGGTGGTACTACAACTACCTCGAGAACAAATTATATGACATGACCACGGGAGCCTTGAGCTCAGCCGTAGGAAGAAGGGGAAAAACAGTGACCTTTGGAAACTACAACCAGCACCTCGACTTTGAGGTCGAATTCAAGGATGTACAGGAACTCCAGAGGTTTGAGGAGAAGGTCCAGAGCCTACTTTTGGCTCTGGAGACAAATAGGGATACCATCACAACATTACAAAAACATAACGATCAGTTGAGGAACTGTGGTTTGGGACTGGAAGAACATCACTTCACAGCAGTAGACGATTCCCTAGATACATACCTTACCGAACTCGCAATCTACAAACGAAACGTTGAAGCCCTACTCCAACGCATTCGTGGGCGATCAAGATTGGTATTTAAACCCTCACTAACGATAACCATCTTACACTGCTAACAATTTCTATAGCTCTACAATATCCTTGACTACCGAAATGCCGAAACTGCCCACCGTCATGGCCAAAAGAACGTCGATTTCGCCGAACTCGGCCGCCGCGATACCGACCTAATGATGAAGATGACAAAACGTACTACCCGAGAAGCCGTGGCCGTCAAGATTGTGACCTTCGTCACACTATTCTACCTTCCGGCCACATTCGTTGCAGTTTGTTTCCTCTACTCCTGGCAATGGTCTTGCAACTAGTGTAATGACATCCCTTCTGCGGTAGACTTTTCTATCAGCAAATTGTGTAAAGTTCGTTGAAGAAACCGTAAACGGACGGATTATATCACGAATGGCGGTCTCGAAAGATCTGATCCTGTTCGCTGCGATAACCGGTCCACTGATGTGTATTACACTAAGCATCTGGTTTATCTGGGATAGAATTGAAAAGAGACGCGTCATCGAGGAGTGCGGCGATAAGCCAAACCGAAATCTTGAGTAAAGGTCTACTTTTCATTGCTGTATTTGTGCTTTTAGACTTTCGTATTCCCTTGTGCAGTGGCCTGTGACTGGGTCTTCACCACCCTGCCATGGCTTTAATCATGTATTTTTATTTTCTTTTGGGGTTATCTATTTTATTATATTCGGTTGCATTGCATTGGGGGGACTCATATTAACTTTTATGCGTTGAATCTAAAGGGCTGCGAAACGCCGTCAATTAAAAAATCAACTCGCGATCTTTGAAGCTGAGAGACGCAATGCCCAAGAGGATGCGAAAGCTGCGCAAGCCGTCGTCTCGCTATGATTATGATTATGATGATGACGATAATAATTATGATGGCTATGATTTATGGTGCGGGATGATTGTTGAATTGCTGTTCGTGGAGTAAAGGGTTTATGCGGAATTCTTTTATGAAAAAATGCTGTTTTCTTTGACGATGTTGATTTCACGTTCATTATGTTTCATTAAAGATGAGTTAGTTAAGTTACTTATATACCCCTGAAACAACTAACAACAGACGAATCAGTACAGAATCTCTTGGTAGTAACGTTGTAGAGTCTGTCCATGCGGTTGTCGCTGAGGGTGCTAGCGGTTTATGTCGTGGACCAGCAAGATGTCTCATGGCCCAACGCACTAGGGGAGCTGCAGGCTCTTTATCGTGTGTAAAGTAACTCTGCATTCTTATGGCTTCATGTGCCTGCATATTCCTCTTCTCGTGACGTCACTTGTATCATCTCTGGGCAGTGAGGGCCATTAGATACATCGATCCTAGACGCTGTATAATAAGCTGTGGTGGCATGAACCTTTTGGATATAAATATTTGCATAGCATAGCCACTAGCCTGTACCATCCCGAGACCTCCCTTTACATTTTCCTTCGTAGCACCTTGACGGTTGGTTGGGTGACAGAGTTGCCTCTACATCTGAAGTATTTGTCTTCATATCCATGCAAGTATGTACTCTGCCCTCTGGCTCGATCATCCTTCCCCAATATCATGACAACAGATCTTATTTCCGAAGGCCTAAAACGGCCAATTGGAGATCCTGCGGCGATCTGCACCCAGGAGAGTTACCTGCGGCTGTGAGATCTGGAGGGGATCTGACATGCGCCATCAACCCTAGAGTACAAGGAAACCACAATGACAAGTGCACAGCTGCTGAAGTAACAGTGGTAGGTAGATTTGACATCACCAACCTTATACGCGAGTCAGACCCGGGGGGGTCGGGGGAATGTACGGGGGGTTTGGCGAGTTTTGTGCGACGCGAGTCGGATTATCCCCCTGGCTGTGTTAGAGCTCAGAAAGAGGACTTAGGGAGACTCTGCTATTGGGTATGTCATTGACTTGCTTAATCGGTTTTTTTTTTTTTGAAAAGTTGCCCCCTAGCTTTGAGATGCTTCAATGTGCCTGTCCGTGCGGATTGTTATATATAAACGTGGGGGAATTCCGCGATATTTTTTTTCTATTCTTTATTCTTCTTTGATAAGAAGGCGCGTGGTCATAACACTTAGACACTTGGCAGCCGCGGATTTTGTTTGAGATCTCATCTTCTTCAGTGTTGTTGACGATAACTTAATACTCATTTCGGGGTAAGCATATATGGAGGGCCCTCAGATTGTCCCCGTCCCTGTTCCTGATGATGGAAATAGTAAGTTTATATCTCACGATAAGCTACATACAGACAGAGCTAATACAAACTTTTCAGGGGCTGTTAACGAAAAATCCAACAAGCAGACTGCTCCAGCATCACCGTCTTTATCTACAATTGAGACAGTAACTGAAAAGCCCACGGTGGAATTGCTATCTCAAGCCACCTCCCAAGCTAGGGAGCCACTGCCCGAGCTTCCGTACTCGCTGCGGACCCGGAAACGCGCGATCGCAATTTCATGGTCTCTCCTTTTGCTGGATGCCTGTTTCCTCCCTGTAGGGTTGTTCTATATCCTCAAATTTGGCGCCAAGCTCGACGATACGCGAAGTAAATAATTAATCTTTTGCATTGTTAATACTCTTTGTATAAATGCTAACTCTTCATGCTCCCAGACCTTGGAATAACAAACTCCGTATTCGGCTTCTTCAGTCTTTTCCAATTCATTTTCCGCCTCTGGCGCCTCCTCCTAAAATCACCCCGCTACAGGCCCGTCGGCACAACCTCCCGCTTCGCCCTCGACTTCTACCAGATCCAGTTCTTTTTCGGCTTCATTATCATTACCGCCATCATAACCATCGGCACAGCCGTCGACCCACCTCTCCTACGACTCCTCGCCATGCCGCCCACCGTACTACTAATCCAGTGCGGGCCCCAGCTCCTCGTCTCCTGCTATGCTGTCCGGAAGGGGTGGAGAGCTCCGTTTAGAATGTCCTCGACCGAAAAGGGAGAGAAGGTGACGGTAGCGTTGTTTACGATCATTGAGGATATCGTTGCGGTTGAGGGTGGCGGTGGCCGGGAGTATAGGGCGGCGCTGAAGAAGCGTTATCAGGTCAGTGAGAGGTTTAGGGAGATGCTGTGGGTTTTGTCGTTGATTTGGGGAGTGGCGGCGATTCTGACGGCGGGGGTTACATGTGCGGTGGTGTTTACGATACAGAAGGATGCGGCGTATGGGTTTGGTGGGTTTCACTTTTTATGAAGCGATGTTTATGGGGTATAGTTACTAACAGGTGATAGGTTGGGCTTTTCCATTCCTGTGGGCTGCGGGTATGGCGGTGTGGACTACTAAGTTTGTTCAGAAGAGGCTAAAAGAGGAAGAGGAGTTGTGGGAAGGTACTACTGTTGCTACTACTAATGAGTAATCACTGCGAGGATTTAGAATGGACTCATGATTCCATGTAAACTTTCTTAATGAAGTTAATTTTTTTCTTACAGCCTCTTTTTAGAATACCCGGCTTTGCTGGCCGATAAAATAGTGCAACTATACGTAGAAATATATACTTAGCACTAGATGGTTAGTCCAGGCCACATTTTTTATATGGCCATGTTTTAAGTTATCTCGTTATGAGTAGTAAGAGATGCAATACTCAGCGCTAAGAGACAAGAATAAAGCACATTTCAGTCATTGACCCCAAGCCCGAATGGAGCAAAAAAAGGCGAACGCACCCTTAAGGTCTGGGCCAAGAAAACAGCAAGGGACGGCCCAGCCCGGACTACTGACACTTAGGGCTAGTCCGACCTACTAAACCATAATAGTCCATAGATATTTTCAGTTGATCTATTAAACTCTCTAGGCCTCAAAACCACTGCTAGTTTCACTAGAGTTGGGGCTTCTGCTATCATCGAGTGGTTGCCTCAATTAAATGTGCGGTTGTCGATCAGTAAATGTTGAAGATAGCTTTGGCAAGTGGGCAGTAGGAACTCTCTCCCATTACAGCGCACCACAACTACCCAGTTGCGCTGCTACTGCTGTTGAGTCATCTAGTGATTTCCCTGTGAAGTGCGGGCGAAAGTCACCTCAGACCAAGATACCACCGGAGAGGGGGTGATGGGCTACAACGTGAGGCATTCCGCACAAGTTCGCACCGTTGAATACAGCTGCCTCAGTCTATTTTGGTGGGGTTCCGCTAATGTATCCCGGCTGCGGTGTCCGCCTCTTCCTCCTAACTTCATTCCCCGGTACGGTATTGGCAATTGGCTTATATGTGCAGGTGGTGGTTGGTTGGGCTCGGTAGCATCAGATCTTCCTCTTCACTTGGCATCACAAGGTTGATGGGTTAGATCGTTCTCCTAGCGGTAGTGAGGTTGATGTAGCTTCTCAACCGCTGAGTGTTTGGCTAGATAATTTAGACAGGTGTGTGTCCGGTGGGCTTTTGCGGCCACGGACTGGAAGCGAAAATTAACTCCCGTGTATGATCAATACTTCCATGTATTGGTGTAAAAGATAGAGAGACGTATCATAATTATATCTCCCATCTTGTGTAATTTATAGGTAGAGGGACTACGCTTAGTTTTATAACTAGCGTTCGCGCGACATAAAGTTTCGTATGAAGTCCCAGATGTCATCACCACTCGACTCCAAGATCTTGGGAGGGCAGTTCAGCGCCCTTGTTACAGCGATTGAGCCCCGTAGATGGATGGTTATATCACAACCAAGACTCAACGAGGATCGAGCTACGGAGGGTACAATCACAGATTATCACTCGTCGCGCCAAAGCTGGCTGGATCGACCAGAGAGGCCATGTTTATTCAGGATTTGCAGTAATGGGCAAAAGCTCAGAAGTGCAAGAGCTTCTGGCGCAGAACTTGTAGTCACGAGAGAAACGTTCCCTCGGAAGAATCGAGAATCACGAGAGCTCACTCGACTCTACCGTCTGGGGGTGAATGTTGAAATGGTGCGTCCTAGTGGTGTACTAGGTAGCCACCAGAGTTATCCTAGGAGCATCTAGGCTGCCGAAGCTTAGGCCTAGGTGATGTTGGTTATTCCCGGCGGATGATTTCATGCCAGCCGAGACGAAGAGACTGCTGCCGCCATCAATCGTGAGATGCATGGGAAACACCGACCGCGTGAGAATATGGGTAGCCTCATCCAGTGAGATTCGATAACCTCTAGGGAGCGTTGAGAAGGGAGCTAATCCGCTGATTGCGTGCTATAGGGTCGGCGGATCGATGTTTGTTAGTTATTGGGTGCAATCCTCGTCCCAAAGGGGAGCTCATCCAGTGGCCGTGCTGATGCATCTCAGCTCTTTTTCAAATCCCCCGTCTATCGGCTGGCTTAGTTGATGAATAGCATCATCCTTACCAGCAGAGCTGACAGAGATTGAAGGCGAGGCGGCACCTGCTGGGCTCGAGATAGAAAAAGTACATCGGGATAGATGATGGTCAGGTCTTGTGTACTAGATTGATGGCGTGGGGAGATGGTTCAGCAGCAGGGATGGTAAAGGGGTGCTGAAGACGTTGGTTTTGAAGTAATCGATGGAGTAGAAGTAGCTGGTTTGGTTGATGATGGGAGAAGCGAGGAAAGGAAGAGTCCCCTTCCTGGCTGGCGCTGAGGTATTGTACTTGGTATCAGAACTACACGTCGTCACTAGTTAGCACTACACGTTGTTCTGGGAACTGCGCTAGCTACCAGACCTACGCCTACTGCAGCTGGGTATACCTGGGGCCGCTTGAATGCTATTACATCTGGAGTAATGATAATTAGCACTACTCTATTTTATCGGTATTAACCTTGATAACCCAACGGAATGTTAGTACATAATGCACCAATCAGCAGACAACTAGATACCACGAAGGCTGTTAATAACTAAACTGAACGAACGAATCAAACATCTCCCTATTTACTAGTTAATAAGAGCATTACTATTACCCCCAGGTGCCTCGTAAAAGAGCTCATACCGCATCACGAGCTGCACGGCCGTTGATCGGCGTGCACCGCATTCCCGCGGGTCTCACATGCCAATGATCGCCGGCCCGCCAAGGCCCCGACGCGTCACGGGGTCCTGTCCTCGCTGCAGGGTTCAGGGCACCCGCGTGGCTGAGCTGGCAGCAACCGGTCTAGCCCAGAGGAGTCTCGTACCCGCTTGGAAGCAGGGGGTTTGGGGACGAGCCTACATGTAGCTAGGGCTAACCCAGTTAACCCGCGTTATCGCTCATTGACATCTCCCGGGCCTCCGATAGCTCCCTTCGAAGCTCGCTCACCTCCCTCCCCCTTCTCTCCTCCGCCCCCTCCCCCTTCTCTCCTTCGTCCCCCTTCTTCCCTTCTCTACTCTCCCCCTTTCTCTACCTCTCCCCAGATACATACCCCAAGAGAAAGGAAAACACCACAGAACACCACGCCTGAATACCACACATACCACCCACCATGCACCCCACCACCCTCCTCCTCCCCACCGCGCTCTTCGCCGCCTCCGCCTCCGCCTGGGGCATGCTCGGCCACCGCACCGTCGCCCTCCTCTCGACGCGCTACCTCCTCCCCGACACGGCCATCTTCGTCAAGTCCCTCCTGCCCAAGCCCCAGTCCATGGTCTCGGCCTCCACCTGGCCCGACTACTACGCGCACACGCCCGACGGCCGCTACTCCGCGCCCTGGCACTGGATCGACTCGCACGACAACCCGCCGCACACCTGCGAGGTCAACTACCACCGCGACTGCGGCGGCGAGGAGGGCTGCATCGTCAGTGCTATTGTCAACATGGTCAGTCCCCTCCCCCTCCCCGTCCCCCCCCCCCCATTCCCAGGGTTAGGGTTAGTTAGTGAGTTATGCTAATGGTGGGAATAGACGGCGAGAGTCACAGACGAGGAGCTCTCGTTCTACGAGCGCCAGATGGCGCTCAAGTTCATCATCCACTTCATCGGCGACATCCACCAGCCCCTGCACACGGAGGACCTGCTCCGCGGCGGCAACCAGATCTACGTGCTGTGGGGCAAGCAGCACACGAACCTGCACCACGTGTGGGACTCGAGCATCGCCGAGAAGCACCAAGGCGGGAGCGCGGTGCGGCACGCGGTCGGCTGGGCGGACACGCTGCACACAGAGATCGAGGGCGGCAAGTATAGTGACGTGCGTGGGGAGTGGAGTGCGTGTGTTGATCCGGCGCGCGCGGAGGAGTGCGCGCTATCTTGGGCGGGTGAGGCGAATAGGTGGATGTGTGACTATGTGCTCCCGCAGACTTATCCTGGGGGCTTGGAGGGGCTGGATGTCAGTGGTGAGTATTACGAGGGCGCGATAGAGATTGTGGATGTGCTGGTGGCGAAGGCCGGGTGGAGGCTCGCTGGGTATTTGAATATGATTGTGACGGGGAGGACGGGGCTGGAGGAGGGCGAGAGGGCGGCGACGGTGGATGCGGCGAAGGGCGAGGACTGGGTGGGTGGTGATAGGTATGCTGCGAGCGGGCAGGAGCTGAAGAAGAGGGCCATGAAAATGGCCAGCACGGGCTGGTGGGGGCATGTTAGAGTTCGATTGAACAATCTGGTTTAGTTTGTTAACTTTACATGTACACCGGGGGTGCTTTCTTCTTCTTTGGCGGCGTGTCTGGGGTTTTCGATAGGGGAGGATTCCTGCACGTACCTACTTGTAACTAAACACCTGAATGAGCACTGCTGTTTGCCTGTCTTGTCTTGTGCTTTCTGGAACTGCTTCTTTCTTCTGCCGGGTTTGGTTTGTTATCGAAGTGTCAGTGATAGATTTGTCGGATTCCCGCAGCGCCAGTGGCCCAGCCCAGCCAACAACCTCTTTCAGGCTAGCCCGGTCCCGCCGTACCTTTTTTCAGTCTTGGCAGGGCAACCACCGCTCGCCGGCGCAGCAGCAGCAGCGAGCATGCAAACCTGATCATTGTCGACGCCCGCAGTGCACACCCGCACACCCGCACACCCGCACACCCGCACACACATATACAAAATGCCCAAGTCGCACCTCCTCACCGGCCTCGCCCCGGCCCTCCGCTGCTACCGCCGCACTCCTCAATTCCATCAACAGCTCCGCAGCATCCGCATCACCCGCGAGACCGTCCCCAGCGCCTCCCAGCCCGAGTCCCCACCGCAGACACCGCAGACACCGCAGACACCGGCGCCCACCAGCAGCATCAGCATCGGCTCCTCACCGCTCAAGAGCTCCGTCACCGCCTTTCCCGGGCGCTCCTTCGCCATCCGCCGCGGCAGCCAGTTCTACGACTCCCGGCAGAAGACCCCCGGGCTCTTACCACCCTCGCCGTGCCGCAACCCGGCGCACAAGCTCCCCATCATCACGCGCGCCTTCGGGCCCAAGCTCAGCGAGTCGCACTTCTCGCGCGAGCCCCCCGAGAAGCTGAGCTATGCGATGGGCCACAAGATGGACATCCGCGACCTGGACAACTACGTGCTGAGGCACGACGTGGCCTTCAAGCTCGGCGTCGAGTATCTGTCGCCCGCGGTGCACAAGGTGGCGCACAAGCGCGAGCGGCTGCTGGACGGGCTGGTGCACGGCGTGAGGAGGCCGCGGATCATTGTGCCGGCGGTGGTGATTTCGGGCGCTGGCGGCGTGCCGCGGTGGCTGTTTTTCGTGCTGGATAGTATGACGCCGTGGACGTTTCTGTCGAAGCAGGTATGGGCATCTTGCTCTTCTCTTTTTCCTTTATTCTTTTCTTTCTTTCTCTCTTTCTTTCTTTCTGTCTTTCTGTGCCGGTGAGAGAGAGGGGATGCTGATATATATATAAAACCCCCCCCCCAGGCCATGGAAAAGCTCAACATCCCCATCTGCGCCGACGGCTCGCGCACGCACGTCACCATCTCCGGCTACGACCAATCCGTCTACCCCTCGCCCCCGGGCTCCGGCTTCGAGGACCTCAACATCCTCGGCACGGGCTTCATGCGGCAGTACAACGCCTACCAGACAGTCGACTGGCGCACGCGGTCCGCCAAGGTGTTCATCAACCGGGGTGGGATGCCGCACTTCTCTGAGATGCGCATGACGTCGTGGACGCCGGCGGGCAACATTGATCTGCAGATCCAGATGATGCGCGACGAGGACGAGGACCACGAGACCCAGTCGGAGCGCGAGGTGCGCGAGGCCTGGGAGAAGGATACGGATGAAGGCATCAGCCATGCGGAGAAGTGGAGGAGGAAGTGGACGGGGAGTGAGTGGGACACGGTGGAGCTGTTTATGAAGGATGGCCATGGGGGGGATGACTGGGGGGTTTAGGGAGGAGTAAATATCCCCCCCCCCCCCGGGCCCGCCCCAGATGAGAGAGGTTGGATGTAAATATGGTCCCAATGGTTTTTTTTCTTCTCCCCTCTGATTTTGGTTTTGCGGTGCTTTCGAAAAGGTGAAATATAGGACGAGCAGCCAATGATCGATGCCAGCGAAAAAAATTAAGAGCGGTAGGAGTGCCTCAATACCCACCCAATAAAATTTACTTCTTGACGAAAAGGTTTTTTTCTCTCTGATTGGAAAGAGTAGATCGCTCTCCAGAAATAAACCACAAGACCTGAGACAATCGGCATCTGTGGTGGACATCTCCCGAGTAGCATAAAACCACTACTAGCAGTATTTCTTGGTGTATGGCCGTAACCACGGAAGGGGATGTTATTCACGCCCATCCAAATTCAATACAAAACAGAGTTCTGTCCCTCTGGAATTTATTAGTAGACTACACAGAGCAAAAAAAAAAAACGGAGCAAAGCGCGAGAGTGATGCGTCGAGTGATATCCCATGAATAAGCACTCGTTGCACACCAAGATTCCCATTCTATCCGGTACTCCGGTCCTCCCGAGAATATTTAGTGCCATCTAGTACTACTACCCTATGGATATGTATCCGGGTAATTAGACAAGTCTCAAGTCTTTAGAAAGGTTGTATCCAGCACACGGGGCCTTGCATGGGTTCGCCGTAGTACCCCCCATATAGGCCATAAATTATCATTTATGGTATCCGAGAACTAGATTCTGGCGACTGCGTGTAGTTCTGGTGAGTACTTTACTGTACGGAGTTATGAGAACTACGTGTAAGTGGTCTGGTATCGATGCACTGCACGTTTTCGAGCGGGCCAGGAGTTCAATATGATTTCGTTCCTACGTGAATCATAAAAGAAGAAAGCTCAGGGCCCGATAGAATAAAACACAACTCGAAGGATTATGTGTTGATGATGATAGAAGAGAAACGAAAGTCAGACAGAAGGAAATAAGCGGAGACAATTTAAATCTCACTACATGCTGGCCCGCGTAGTTATCAGAACCCCACTCCGCTAGCGCGGTGCTTGCGTGTAATGACCCCCCCAGTTCATGCGTTGATGCTTTGAACTCCAACGATACCAGGCAATCTTGGCTAAACGCATGCAGTTATCTGTTGATGAAGGCGGGCCTAATGACTGGCCGAGCCCTGTCACTTCTCACAGGCTCCAAACCCTTTGCGGTCTGACATGAGACCTGCGGGGCCTTTGCAGGGCAATATACCGGACAATCCAGTGGAGGAAAGAATCAAGAACGCTCTTCTCTTCCAGAGCGACGGCTTGCAATGGCCTATGGCTTACAGCGATCCACCCCAAGAACCTCTTCGGCCACCATGTAACACATATCTTCCCAGCAAACGCATCAATACCCAGCCAGCCAGCCAGGGTAGCAGTAATATATGGCCGAAAGACAAACCGAAACCAGAATGCCAGGCTGGCTTGGAAAATCCAGGTATTGCGTCGCGTCTATTGGTCATTTGGATTACTGAGTGAGAGGAAGTAACTACAGTGCGCAGTGGTGGTGGATCCGTGGCCTGTACACATTTAGGTCCAGCATTTATCGAGTGATATTTCATAATCTGGAACCGATTGATTGATTGATAATTCATGATCCGGAACCGAGGGGTCTTTTCTACAATTGCTTATCTTACAAGACGTAGCCTATCGCTCGCCCTTGGTTTTTATGGTGCAGCTATATCAAGTTTCTATCACTGCCGCCTTCCCCTCTCCCCGTCTTATACATACATTCAAGTCAAGTTCCCCTACCTTGAATGCTCGAATTACGATTCTACGATACACATGGATCGACAACAAGGGAAAATGGTTCATAAAGAATTAATTATATACAAAAAAAGAAACCCTAACTCACCAAAGAATGCCGCAGCCGTAGCTTCGCGGTTCCCGCTTAAAAAAGGTTTTAAGCGGGGAAACCGGTAGAAGAGCCATGTTCCTGATTCAAAGGAGAATCAGGTGGACAGAGGGCCACGGATATTTTTTGTTGCAGCTTCGTTCACGCTCTAACAAGCTAAACAGGAGAAGAAAACCTTCACCTGCTTGCCGGAGCGAGAACGGAGGCATGCGAACATACTGGGAAAGAAGAGGGAGAGAGAGGTGGGGTTTGAGTTGAATATATAGTGGGAGGAAAATAGTGCCAAGGTGCGATAGGCTCAAATTGATTGATTGATAATTCACACGATAGGCTCAGCGTAGATAAGATGAAGCGCGCGGTGATTGTCAAATTCTTTAGCCTGTATGTACCTGGCTGAAAAACTGGGCGGAATTGCCAGTACAGTCGCCTCTCGATATAAGGATACGGTCGGTGCCGAAATCCGTATCCTTATAAGGCGAGTACCACTACAAGTAAGGAGGGACAGTTAAAACAGTTTTTCGGGACCGCCGATTGCTATTTTTCCTAAATTTGCAAGCCCGATATATCCAATTAACTCTCGATCCCGCCATTTGCGAAGTTTTATACAATAGGAGATAACGCCAAGAAATAATAATCAATATCCGAGTGATCATCCGTGATCCACAAAGAATCCTACTACCTTCTCGATCTTTCAATACACACACACATCAAAACTTGAAAAATCTTGCATACATAAACCTCTCTCTTTTCCCACGCTAAGAGACACATACAGATTCGAGTCTTTCTCTTGCATCTACAAAATGCCTAAAGTCATAGACGTATGGGGTCATTTCGTGATACTTTTTGTCGTTGCGCTTGCCTCACGATCTGGTCGGAAACGTAGGAATCTACGTTTTGTGAATAAGCACATGAGGACGTGGTGATAGTTTGTGTATTGGAGTCGACTAAACTTCACATTCGCTACATTTGTATTATCTTGGGCTTCTTACATCTCTTTTGCACTTGTTACCGTTATATATTCGGAATGTTTTACATATAATTTAACCAAGTTTTATCGCTGACTGTACTTAGGCAGGCTGCCATTCAGTGTGGTGGGTACCTGTATACGCATCATGTTAGTTATTTAGTGTCAATGACAATGGCGAGGATTGGTTAGGCATTACCTTTCTTTACCTCTCCAGCACCTTCGGACTTCAAGTCATACGAATGAGCACCAAAATAATCCAATTGGGCCTCCATAAACATCGCTGGTAGGTGTTTCCCCGCACAATACTTGAAATACTCTAAACTAGCACTCATGGACGGGCTAACCGCTTGTCAGCACCAGGCACGCACTTTCAAGGTCAAGACCACTTACATATGCGCGTCCCATTCAGTGGCTCTCATGACAACCTTTTTCAACGCCGGCATCGTCCTTTGGATCTCCGACGCAATCTTCTCGGCCAACAACACATTCATGATCCCTTTGTCTTTTTCAAACACACCCTCAAGCAAATCGGCGATATGCTCGCTCTCAATGATACAGCCAGCTCTCCAAATCCTGATACATTCCTTCAGCTTCACACCCCAGCCCTCGTCCTTGCTCGCCCTCGCGATCAGATTCATTCCCTGGCAATAACTCGCCAGGAACGCACAATACACTGCCTCCCTCAAATCCTCAATGAACTCAGCCCGCTCCTCATTCTTCTCCAAATGCTGCTTCTTTGCCGCAGCTGCACTGCCAATCATGTCGAAGAACTGAAGCCGTTCCCCGCGTGCTGCGGATGCAATCCGGTAGAAGTGAGCGGATGTGATGGTTGGTGCGGAAACGTGGCGGAGCGCAGCCTCTTGCACGGTCCAGACGCCGGTGCCTTCGCTATTATCGGCGTCTTGGACGACTTTGTCTTGGATGTCGTTGAGGAGGTGGCCGGTACCTGTGGGCTTCTTACGGGCGCAGATCTCGGCGCCGATTCGGACGAGGAAGGTGTTTTTCTATCACTCGTCAGTATGCTTTCGAAAATCAATTACAGATGGTAATAGCCCAGGATCATACCAGCTCACCCGCTTCATTCCATCCCTCAAATATCTTTGCGAGCTCGTCCAAGTCCGTAGATAAACATTTGAACAGCAACTCCCATGCCTCATTCAGTACGCCTAGCATCCCTTGCTCAATGCCATTATGTACCATCTTTACGTAATGCCCACTTCCTCCAGGGCCAATGCTCGTAACACATGGTTTGCCCTTCCACTGTGCTGCAACCTTCTCTAGCACCGGCATGACCTTCTCCAGTACATCCTCGTCACCACCTGGGCTGATACTTGGTCCACGCCTCGCAGACTGGTAGCCCCCAGACACGCCCATGCAGATATAACCCACGCCTTTCTCCTTTATCTCTCTCTGACGGCGTTCAGAGTTGAGATACCACTCGTTGCCGCCATCAAGTATGATATCTCCCTTTTTGAGGTGTGGTGAGAGGGACTTGAGGACCTCGTCTGCCGGGGAGCCGTGAGTGATGCTGAAAAGGAACAGCCTGGGTTCGTTGTTTCCACCAAGGGAGGAGACGAATTTGTCGTAGTCTTTGTAGCCGGAAATTTTTTGGCTGTTCTTCTGTTTTTTGAGATGTGGGAGAGCGTCGTCGATGTTGGAGGAGTTGACGTCGAAGATGGAAACGTGAAAATCGTGATCGGCGAAGAGGAGCGCCATGTTGCTGCCCATGGAGCCGGCACCGACTATGCCGATCTATATGAAGTCAGATCAATGGTTATTATCGTATTAGAGGCTTTTGGATCGATTGACTGGGCAGAAATTTAAGTAATTTGGACAGAAATCCATAATTTATGAATTTCATGAGACATACAACTAGTCTCTGTCCAAAATACTCAAAATTCTAACCAACCCACGCAGTTAAGGCCCTCTAATTAATCTCATTCTGAGAAAATACCTTGGAAAATGTAGTTTTAGACATTTCTGCGTCGAATTGCGGTGCTGGAATGCGATATGCTATGTGAGAAGGCATGGCCAAGCAAATGCCCAGAAACCCACATTATTATATATATAACCTCCCACGATTATTTCCCAGTACTTCAATCAACGTCATAAAAGCTCATGGATCCAGTATATTGCTGTGACGTAGGATGTCCATTCCAGAACCGTTTCCGCATCTTTTCCGAGGGTTAGGGTTAGATATGTGTTCTTATCGATAAGCAACGCCCCGCTAATGCGAAAGGGACAGTTAACCTAGTGGTGACATCACCAGTACTACCGCGTCTTCCAGAACAAAGCTTGAGTCAACGTTCATAAAGCCTACGATATTCCTCCCCCTGCCCCCCGGCAGATAGATTATTTCAGCAATGCAGAGGATATCACCTCTGCTGGCTAGAGTAAAAACTACACGAAATATGGCTTCAAGTACTTCTTTGAGTGAAAAAGTAAGTTTTTGAACCCCACCCTGTGTTTTTGTGAATTATTTTATATCTTTAAGATATTGTAATGATAACGAGGCTGGCAGCGTGTAAACGTATTCGGGAGACCCTTATTGCTCCATTCGGAGGATCCGATGACGGGATTCTTTAGGAATGGATACTGTGATGTATGCAATTCTCCTTTCTTCCGGCGCAATTCGCAGCCTGGTGCGCGCCGATAGGTAACCAATTGGATGTGTGCAGACCAACGCAAGGTTCGATCCCAACTAAGTACAGCCCTTTTCCGCGGAGTAGGTACAGGGTCGACCGGTCTCAGGGGTCTCGTGGGATTTCAATGCAGACGGGTGTGAGAACTGCAGGTACAGTACAGATCTTTTGCAGCCATTGGCTCAGTTGTCTTGCAGCGTGCATTCACTGATACCTATTCTAGCTACTTAGATCTCTTTGCCCTGTCGACCCTGTGCACGCCCCGCAAGAGAAGGCTATAAATCCCCCTGGGCGTCCCAGCACTAGTAATCTAAGCAACCAGCTGCTGACAACACGGCCCACAACAGTGACTCTGGAAAGTGAGTACATCCTCGAGGCCTTGACACTCTATCCTATAAGATGAACCCAGCGTCCCCTCTCCTGGAAACCCTGAGTGCGTCCTGCTCATGCATTCTACGGAACAGCTAACCAGCAGCCTAACTCCTCAAGCCACACTATCGCCAGCGTCGTCTCAGACAAATTCCTCGACTATTCCGCCGCGAAGGGTAATAACCTCCGCCCGGTTGGGCTAAGGGATGGGTGCAAATGGTGTCTATGTGTGAATAGATGGAAGGAGGCATTCGATGCTTACAAGAGGTAATTCCAAGGCTTCCACCCCTTCTCCAAGATGGGCATTGCTAAAGTGGATATGAATGTAGGGGCGAGGTTTCTGCGGACACAGTCCCAAGAGTTGTACTAGGTTCCACGCATATCAGGGCGCTTGAAGGGGGTGTTAGAATGGATCAACTCGAGGAGTTCAAATTCGAGGAGAAGAAGTAGGGAGATATGGTGTGACGTTGAAACAAGCCTTTTTCCCGCAAAGGATAGGTTTTGAAGGTTGAAACGATTTTCACATGTAGGTACCTAGAATCACGGGTACCTCAGATAGCTCGGCCTTAGTCGTTGATTGTGGGGTACATGACCTATGCCGCCGGTTACCGCTGTCTAGATTCCCATTATTCCTGCAAGGCTCTGTTTAGGCTCCGACATCTCTGAGTTCTCGTGTAACAAAGATGATTCCATGTTTTCATTGGTTGATTCATAGAGGAGTTATTGCATCAGCCTGGCTGGAGAACACTTCAACCGACTTTGTTGGACAGAAGGTACGCAATTTTGACAGGCGACCTTGAAGACAACCAACAAGTCATTACGAGTACATAAATGAGACGGGCCACATGCATAATTAGCTACATCTGTTCTAGATAAAGGTCAGTTCATCCAGCGTCCGCCTTGAATAGTGCGCCTTTGCACAGCCAGCTACCAGGCTCTTGGAACAAACAAAGAAATGATATAATTATGTGTATGTATTCCTGATTTGTTCGCAAACCTTATGCTTTGTTGTTCTATGTACCTTACCTAACTTAGCAGGAAAAGCAATATTTTACGTGAAAGACTTTTGGAGTAGATCATGAGATCGTCCATTAACGTAATGGGCATTCAACAGAATCTCGATCTTGCATTGAACAGCATGAAAATTATTCTGAATGAACAGAATTTAATACCGCGACCTGGATTGATTGATCAAGGCTATCTTAATCATCAATCGACAGGATCATGTTATATTAAGAGCAAGACTCAGTCCTGTCAGTAACCTTTATAGCAGCTCAAGGTTCGCCGTTCTGTAAAGGACTGCCAGTTGGCGAAAGCTCCGTCCATCTTGTGATATCCGTGGACGCAGGGGCTCCGCCCTATCACCGTCACACATACATTCGTTCAATGTTGGTGATAGTGTGTTCCACCAGCTTCTTAGAGAAATTACCCAAGAAATTTGGTCAGTGAAGAAAAATACACGATATTTTCCTTCCAGGTGTGATGAGTGAGAAGAGGAACCATAACAACCATATCAATGAAAAACGCGGCTGGACTACTAGATATTTTAAAGAACAAGTCTAATAACCCGAATCTATACCGTGACCAAATATCATAAACACTCGCTGACTGATAAGGCTCGCTCTAAATAATCTAAGCCGGCTCGAGTTTCAGATGGAGTATAAGATCGAGACTATCCCCGCGCACAAGGGGCCTATTCAGAGCGAAATTGGACCACAACCCGATCAAAATGCCTACAGCTAGTTCTACCTCCAGCAGAACTTCTCTTGAATCTTCTCCCTCTCACCCTATAACCGCGACACGTCGTCCTGCTCCGGGGTCGCCCCGAGCTCCCCCAACTACTGAAGCTGCCCCAGCATACGACTCCATTATAAACCCACCAACCGTTACCCTTGGCCTCCCTGGGGCAGAAGATGATGTTTCGCCTCCTTGGTATCACTCGGGCGACAAAAACCCGCCCATTGCGCCGTTCTTCTTAGCAATATTTCAAGAAGACCAAGCTAGACTTGAGGAGCTCATGGCTAGTGACTCTGAAATTGTAAACACACGGGATGACGGTGATAGAACACCACTCTATTGTGCTGTTGTCGCATACAAAAGCAACATAGATATAGTCAGATGTCTTTTGGGAGGTGGAGCGAATGTAAATGACTGGAGCCGCGAATACCTCCCACCACAGAAAAAGAGAAAAAGCCACTGGCCGCCACTGACACCGCCTCACTCAGCGAGTCCCAATAACAAAGGTTGGTATAAGACACAGCGTACACCACTCATGGCTGCATGCCAGCGCAATCATCTTCCCATCGCACGACTCTTATTGGAAACTCCTTATAACGCAGACCCCGGATTGGTCGCTGAAGATGGTCAGCATGCACTGCGCCTGGCATCAACTTCTGGTAGTCGGGAGATTGTCAAGTTACTGCCCTCGCTCCGCGCAGGTGGCTGGAAGCGCCTGAAGTACCGCAGCAAACCGCACATAGCCAAGATCAAGAAGGCAGCACAGGTCGTTTACGAAACGTGCAAATTTGTTGTTTTCGACGTACCTAAGTTTGTGGTGTGTAAACTCCCATATGCGATCTACGATGTGGGCAAATATTTCGCACGCCTTCTCTGGAGCTGTGCAAAAGAAATCGGGAGCTGGGCCGTCAAACTGCCTGCTAGGATCTACAAGCTCTTGATCAGTATCCCAGGAGCTATCTGGAGGGGTGTTAAGGCGGTCCCGGGGGTTTTCAAGACGTTCTTCATGTCCACACTGCCAAGGATCATCAAAGCGCTATTTGAGGTATCGCGTGATATCGTAGTGGCTATCGGGAAGTGCTCGTGGTTTTTCACAAAGTGGCTACTCAAAACGATCTTCATTCAAATCCCGAAGTTGATATTTGAGGGAATCGTAGCAATTTTCAACCAAGTCAAAAACTTTGGAAAATGGCTCCTGGATCTACTTGCCTCCTTTGCAAGTCTACTGCACACATTCTTTGAGTGGGTTGTGCGCAATTGTACGTGGCAGAACGTCATGCAAGGGCTGAAGTCAACGCTGAAGTTCTTCTTTGTCGATATACCAGTTGGGCTGTGGAATGCCATGCGGATGGTTTATTCTGGGCTCGAACATTTGCTCGAGGGTATATTTGGATGTTTTTCATGCTTGTTCCTAGCCATCATCAAGATGATTCTGTGGTTTCCCAAAAAGCTTAAGAGTCTAGTAGTATCTCTTGGAAAGATATTTGCTGGGGCGTGGAAGGAGTTTAGGGTCTTGATTGATCCGAAGGCCAATGTTTGATTTGGATCTTTGGGGGCTATATATCAATTCTAGGCTTCGAGAGCCTGGGTATCGTGTATTTCATTCCGTCTTTCTTTTTTGTGGAGCCTAATTTCTTTTATTGGGTTTTGGGCAGCAATCTTGCTGCCGCCCTCTTTTGTTTTTTGTTCCAGCATTCGAGATTTGATATTTTACCACCCTTTAGCACCCTTTAGCAGGGATTTCATTAATGAGACTTATTGTTGGAAGGATTTACTGACTGCACTCGCATATAAGGCTTCTCCCTTAAATCAAGGAAGGCTCTACTTTAATGTCCGATCTCTTCTTCTTCATGAGAACTCACTCGAGCCCACCAGCAACCAAGACACGCGCAGTGCACTAGTCTTATCAATAAGAAAGTTTAGTGTAAGATTTCGATAAGATGTAAGAAACGCAGACTCCGTACACCTGAGAACTATGCACACCGGGGTTACCTCCGAACACCTTCGTAGTAGCACAATTATCGGGATGCAGCTGTCAGAGGTTATCGAACGACAATCCAATAATCTTTGGAGAATAAAGATGTCGACTGGTATTGATTGTGTGTATGCATGTCGAACCAAATGTTCAAACACTTGCATATCCAAAAAGAAAAATGGCTCACAGATAAGCTTAGCCCAATTATAGTCGTATTTTGTTTTGAACACGCACTTTGAACTTCGAGTTCGGTCTCAAGTCCGATAGGCAAAGGCTTGTTCCCAAGTGTCAAATTAGGATATGTATCATAAGGCAATCAATTCGAAGTAGATCCATAGCATATATACGCCCATAGTGAAGTGCAACTTTAGCACTAATTAAACCCGAATTCGCGAAGCGCGTCATATATATATGCCCCACTATTGGCGGGCGCAAACCACACCACTAATACACTCCACTGCACACCACTAGTCGTACAATGCAGAAAGCCTACTAGCACTTCCACAAAATTCAGCACTGCCTCCTTTACATCCTGCACATGCTACTGGTACATAGTCGGCTGCTCATTGACATCGCGCACGGTACTTCTAGTTTGCACTTATTGTGCTCCGCATATAAGTATACATACATGTATATACATATATGTGTAATATACTCTACATATATGGTTAAAGCTCGAACTTTCAAACTTCAACCCAACCTCTATCTGTAGAGGAGTGATAGGCACGAGCCAGCTTTAGGTTCGAGCGTGGGGCTTGAACCAATTGATCAATTGAGCCTATAGTTTCACAAGCCCAGCTCAACTCTATATCCATAAACCGTTACATACCCAGGTATTATCTGCATGTTTCTTTGCTATCATAGAACTGGAGATCATATCAACACTGCTTTCGACACCTTGTTTATGCCTGAGCTTGGCTTGATCCTACACTTAAACCTACTCTTCAGGCTACAACATCTCGAGTTCTTCTTCGAGCCGAATCATACCCATCGATATTAGAGCCGGAGTCAAAAGGCAGAATTGCGGGAAAACCGTTGATCTGCGTGATTTGGAAAGTTAATCAAGGCAATTCTCTGTTGTTTAGTGCAGAAGATCAAGGCTGAGCACAAACTAATACAGAACTTTTTAGATGTGCCTTTTCATTGGTCCATATTATGTATACTAATTATTCTAATTTACATCTAAGATCATATTGATAGTATCTGTAGATAAGAACTCATCTAAACACTTGTAAACCTGGATAGAATATGTCCACTAGGTACATATTAATTTCTGAGGTAACTGATTTGTAGTCAAATAACATACTTATTGCTGTTCCTTAACATACGCCTCTCATGAGAAGTTTACGGTCCAAGGCTGTGCTTAAAAAAAGCACATTAGAATGTGACATGTCGGATTATGCATGAGCCTGAGGCCTCCGTGTCCAGTCCCGATTAGAACTAGCGCGAGTGGTACCCGCCTCGATGTTCCAGTAGACGAGGCTGGGATGAGTCTGAATCGAGATCATTGAGATCATTGGCACTGGTGTTGAACCAAAGCTGTCTAGAATTGCCGTTCGTGTAGACCCAATGAAACACGCATAGGTTGTATTTATTTGTCCTCCGCCTCTGTGTCCGTTGCGCGAAATCTCACTGATCTCCCGAGCACCCGTGACCCTTCCTGGCACGTCTTGTTACTCTAGGTTCGGAGCCTTAATTCAACAGTGCACCGCCCTGTAGCTGTTGCTAGAGTATCATACAAGGCTGAAGCTACAACTTTTCCTGGGCTTTTATATATCTATATATCCCTTGTCGGCTCGTAGTAGACTTTTACTTTGTTTGCCAACCCCCACTACCGCTGCCATCATCGTCGACAATGAAGCCAACAGACGTTGTCTACACGGACTCGAAAGTCTCGATCACCATAATTACAAGCTGCCCAGCTAGTAATGGGCTATCTCCAGCCGCTAGTAGTACTCGCTGCAGCTTTCTGGCCGCCCGCGTTATACAGCTGGTGTTATTTTTGACGATTGCTGTGATCGATGTCTATGTCCTGACCCGTGTCTTCAACAGGTACTTCCTCGTAGACCCATACCCCTCCATATCCTACGATGAAATGATGCTAATTAGATACCTTCAATAGTCCCATGGGTGTTATACCAGCCCTGAAGGGAACACTTTTCCTCACTCTCATAATAATCGCATTGACTCTCCCACATACAATCACCGATGTGTACCGTCGATACTACAAAAAGCCCAGTCTCTATTCTCCCGGCGCCGCGATCCTGCTCGAGATCCACTTCTTCTTATCGTACATCATCCTGTTGATATGCGTGGGCATGGTACACATCAAGGCGATTGGTGATCTGTGCGAGCCGGAGGGCGGGATGATTGTAGATCGACCCGATGAGATCTGTGGACTGTTGAAGGCGGAGTTGATGATTTTGAGCTTGACTACGTATGTGTTTTCCCCAGATTTGCTGTATGCTGTTAGATATACTAATTTCTTTTGGGATAGATTCTTTTGGGTGCCGACTATGAAGATGGTTTATGAGGGTGTGAGCGGTAATGGATGTCCGAGGCGCAGTGTACAGGTTAATGGTACAATCGTTTAATCTTAAGGGACTATATAGTAGGTCAGAGCGGGAGAAGGTGGAGGAAAACTGCCATAACTACAAGTATCACTGCTACGCTTATAGAATGAATTTAATATGTTTATGCAACTTTTTTATTTAGTTACGTAGATCTATAGAATTTCTGTAGTTATAGATATCAAAATGATAGAGAAATAATGTGCTTCTAATCTTAATTTATCGCCCTAGTAATGTGCAGCATAGAATCTAAAAACCATGGATGGTCTCACATATTGTGACGTCGTTTCCAATAAGCTCGGGAAATCGTCATAGTACATGTAGTTAATCCCAAACCATGGCTCTGGAGAACAGAAGAAGGCATCCAAAACATCTGCCTGCGTGTACATTCAACAGATGTGCGTAACTCCCTAGAAATCTAAGCACGCTAACCCACAACCATACTAACACCCCAAACTAGCCAATCCCTCGAGTGAGATTATATGAAGGCACTGTGCACAAAACCACGACCCCCCCCCCCCCCCCGGGTCTCGCACCCACGTTCCTAGAACAACAATATTTTTTATATTTGCATTGGTATTAAGATGGCTTTGCTAGTCACCAATCGCTGATAGTTGATTTCTTACATGTATGGGTCAAATATATCCGGTGTCTTTAGTTCAGAACGGGGGGTAAACTTTTTCAAGTTTCCCTTTAGTCCCACTTTCTAATCTGAAGATTAAACCTACAAGACAAATTATATATGTAATTGCTTTCATAAAGTGTGTCTGTTACTAAATCTATAAACATGGATGCCACTGTAACTCATGGCATATAATTCTAGGAAGGTTTGCTCTCAATATCTATGTACAGCTGTACGTGTATTTAACTACCATAACACCGTAATTTAACGTCATTAATTCAATAATCCAGAAAAAAGGCTTAAGTCCTCGCGATCGGTGTCTCACACGACTCTGCATCTTCGAGAGCCCTATATCTACAACATCCGCAATGGCCATTTTTGTTCCTGAGCTTTCTGACCTGCGCCCCCGCAGCCAATATAGTTGATATTGTCACTAATACCCTAAACATTCCACATCTCAGTCAGCCTCCTACTCAACCCCGCTCGAGTAGTATAAGGGGAAACAAACGCTTCGATGACGGTCAATGAAAATCCCCATTTCAATATATCACACCTAGTTTTCGTAACAAGATACTGATCCCACCCACTTGTATCTGTCCCGGCTGGCTCGATATAAGGTGTCTTGGCCAAACTGGCACAGCGATACTGTATTGCCCCTCCCGCTAATATTAAGAATATCACTATTACGGCGGACCACATAATGAAGAACAGCAGGTCGACAGTAATGCCTGTGAGTGGGTGAAAGGGCCTTCGCCGACAGTGGTTGTAGAAGTGAAAGAGATTATAGATGGCCATGAGGCATCCGACAAGGATTGTGAATATGATATACCTATATTGTATAAGCTTACAATTATCAATAGTATTGAGATGATGGGGACTAACGGCCAAGACTCATTGTTAACCATCAACACACTTACGGCTATTACCGCTAAGCTGACGATTAACTGAAGGGTGCGAACTATTGTGAATAGCTTTGAGGGCCACATTTCTAGGCTTGGTCTTTCGTCTCCCATTTTGTGTTATTCGAAGCGAACTACCTATCAAACTTAAAATCGAGCTTGAGGTTGCAAAGTATTTTAGGGCAGAAGAAGCTGTAGACGAAATTTTTTGAATCAATTTTACCAACTAATCAACCGAGTAAGCAGGCAGCTTAGTGATATTTATCCTCACCTATTCTTACAGCGGGCTATGTGAACAAGTAATTCTCAAACCCCAACAGTCATAAAGCTGGAACACCAAGGTTTTGGTTAGTGTGGAAGGTCATAGCTATACGAGGCTCTGCATAATAGGGCCGAAAGTCCTATAAGAAACTTACCTACCCCAATTATCCTCCCATCAGTTCCAGCCGCGTTTTTTTCTTTCTTTCTTCACTTTGAAGACACGTCTATGTGTGACTTTACTTAAGTGCACGCGTAGGCTCGGGCCTAAAGCTGCTGTCTACGAAAATCCATGAGACGTAATTTCCCCTTCAAATCAGGTTTAGTAAGGTTTGTTTAGCACGCTTTTTACATACTAAAACAGTAAGCGATAGGTTGTCTTGAATCCTTGAAAAGCGCCAATCGCTGTCTCTCCGGTGAGGGCGTTGAGTCGAGCTATTCCTCCCTACGGGTCGTTAAAGGCTGACCAGCGGATAAGAGCCGTGATCCAGAGCAAATCAGATTCAGTGGCCGATTTCCCTTCCAATCTTTCGATTTCTTCCCTAGCCGTATGTACCTAAGTGTAGAAATGCAAATGCACTTAAAACCGGGGTTCTTGCTAGTCCCACCATGCGCAAGAATATGGAAGTCGGGGTTTCCCCGGTAAAATACGGCACAGGACCTAAGACTGGGTTGTGCTCCATTTAGATAGCATAGCCCTGAGCGGTTGCAGATCCTGGGTAGCAGGGCCGGGAAATAAAGAAAGGATCGATCGCTAGAAATATACAATGAGATCCCGAGTCCCGAGCCCCCAAATCCCCGAAATCCGAGAACCCCTGTAAGGACCTCAAAGGCCGGGGTTGAAACCGATTAAAAACTCAAATCCCAAGATTCTATTACAAGCTCCTGTCAATTGGATAAGCTTTATGCGAATGTATATTTACGTTTTATACTATATCTACTAGCCTCGTGCCCAGCCTTGTGTGGATGATTTTCTAACATGGAAACGAGACTATATCTACAGATATACCATTATCGTTAGTATCAGTATCTCATCACATAATTATGGGGAAAATAATATACGTACACTGACGTCATTTGGAATCAATTTGGTTTACCTGCAACAACGGATTATGGAGAGATCGAACCAGTGTGTGATTCAGGGGTCACTGTGTCGAGAAAGCCACGACTAAGGTGCTGGAAATCGTGGGGAGCGTGGTGTACATTGTGTAGTTGATTTTGGATGATTAATAGAGGTAGAATCGACTGCTTGGGATGCATAGACGGCTGTTGTGATGGATACATGTATTGACTTAGGATGGTAGAACTGGCTGTCTTATGTGTCCACTCCAAACTTTATTTCCGTTAGTAGTCTAGCCCCACGGAGTATATATCAGTTTCATCGCCCGCTATGGTCTAGCGGGTAGATACAGTATACACTACATGTACTAAATGCACATACTACGTACATGTTGGAACTAGGATTGAAGTTTTGATCCGTTCCCCAGACTATTCACACCCGTGTAAGGGTGACTATAGGTTCATGAGTTTGACTCGTGTTTCCATAAAGATCCCATGAGCTTTGTTTCATCTTCCTTCTCAGTCCTAGATGCCGTTCTAGCCGCGAAACGCGAATTACGAGATGTAGCTAAGTACGAGTGATATGCCGTGATGTGCTTTGTAGGGTTAGGGTTGTGATATATCGTTAGCGAACACTGTCCAGGACTAGGAATACTCTTAAGAACACAAAACATGTTCGCAATCAATGATCAATATGCCTGGATACTTGTAGCTGTCCATAGAAAGTTGCAGAAATCCCTCCAATCAGAATGCTTCCTGGAACGAGTATTTCCAGTACAAGATCTTCAGCTAACCACAGTAGGCAATATCAAATAATTGTCATCCAGTGATCTACAGAGCACCCACCTAGTTAACTGTTAGTATAATTATAAAATAGTCGGTATTTCATACAAGACGACCTGTTATTGTGGAGAGTGCATGGCGCCCCAAACACCTTTGTCACAGCTTATTCTCGATTACGCTATGCACAGTCAACCCTGCACATGCGGCTCCTACGAATCACCACCATGATCATCAATCATCACAAATTCTTACGAGGGCATCAATAATGAACACCTTACACTTCCATCGAATTCGCCACATATCACCATCGCCATAAGAACAACTGCCAGGCCCGAAAACCAACTCAATTCCTTTCAAAATGCGAACTTTCGAAAGTATAGTTGTCTGTCTCTTCGCGCTCTACCTCACCTACTACTGCCGTCGCCACTACTCGTCCACCTCCGAAGAGATCCTCGAAGCTGTAACACCCATTTTCGAGAATATCCAGAAATCAGATATCATGGCCTCAATCAAGGAAGTACTCCTCCCTGCGACCGCCACAGGAACGCCGACAGCAAGCACTCTCTTCGAAGCACCCACTGTGGTCCCAGATACACCGTCAACGCTCACTACTTCTCGCCGAGTCGCAAAGGCCTTTGAGGCAATTGAGCAATCTGAAGGTGCTGGAGCACGTGTCCGCCGTTCTGTTGGTACCGCGCAGCTCAGGAACTTCAGCCCGTTCCTTATGTTAGATCACTTCACGATTGGCCCTGGCGCTGGCTTCCCCGACCACCCGCACCGTGGCCAGGAAACGATAACCTACCTCCTCTCTGGCTCCGTCGATCACGAAGACTTCGCTGGAAACAAAGGTACCATCGGCCCTGGTGATCTCCAATTCATGACCGCCGGTAAAGGCATCATGCACGCAGAGATGCCCGGACTCGCATCCACCACCCCTAACGTCGGCCTCCAGCTCTGGGTAGATCTTCCTACAGCTCTCAAGTTCTGTGAACCTAGATATCGTGATCTGAGAGGCGATGAGATCCCCGTCGTGGAGGCAGATGACGGGAAGGTGAGCATCAAGATTATTTCCGGGGAGTCTCAGGGCGCAGAGGGCGTTAGGGAGCTTGCGTATACACCTGTTTGGATCTTGGATGTGACGGTCAAGGCTGGGGGGACCTTGAAGCAGATCCTGCCGAAAGCGTGGAATGCATTCCTCTATATCCTGGAAGGCAGCATAATTGTCGAAGGGAAGGACGTCCCGACATTCCATAACGTGGTGTTTGAGAAAGAGGGCGACGGTATTGTCGTTGAAGGAAAGACAGATGCAAGATTTGGTATGTTGCTTTTAAACCCCCCCACTGAAAGGTTTCATATGCTAACCATAGATATAGTTATTATCGCAGGACAACCTCTAGACCAGCCTGTGGTTCAGCACGGCCCATTTGTACTGAATACTAAGGAGCAGGTATATGAAGCCATGAGGGACTACCACGGTTACCAGAATGGCTTTGAGAGAGCAGAGGGTTGGAGGTCTGAAATCGGGAAACGGATGGATTAGACTTAGTACTTATTATCTGTTTTTTTGTAACGTAACCGGCGCTATGGGATTGGTATTATTATTAGCATTATTAAATATTTGTATTCCAGTTTTGTGTTAAGAAGATTGTTGTGCTGGCGTATGTTAAAACCGTATGCAAATTTTTCCCGAGCAAGACCAAATCTCTCCATGTTCCGTGGGGCAATTGCTAGTGCATGTTGAGGGTATTCCACAACAGATCACTCGAAGGTACAGTTGACTGCGATAATATTTCGCTACATCGATATTCTTACGCCTTCTATTTGTCGAGGGTCCATTCCACTATGGAACTAGCCAATCCGCTAGTCCCGTAAGCATTGAAAGAGGGTTGATATAGAAAATAGGCGCTAGTAGCACCATAGCAACATGGCGCAGCGGAAGCGCGCCGGGCTCATAACCCGGAGGTCCCCCGATCGAAACGGGGTGTTGCTAGTTCAAATCCCTTCTCGGGCATCTTTTTTCTTTTCTCTTTTGCCAATTTTTTTACCTGCGATGCTGACACCGTAAATAAAACTCTGGATTGTCCGTTACTTTACTAGCTCCTGAAAAAAAAAAATATTATCGCGGGGTAGATATGATTGTTATCGCCAAGTAACGACTACATAATGCATCACAATACATCACTCGCTACACTACATTTCGTGCCATCAATAACATCGCATAATCTACATGTAGTATAGAAAAACCTTAAAGATGGTTAAAATTAAAGAATAAAGAGGAACCACAAGCAGAAGTAGAATTTGAACAAAAAACCATCTGGTCAGAAAAGAATGTCCATCACATCCCCCCAAAGAACAAATTTCTCAAGCCCCTTCAATTTTAGTAAGAGGCTTCGAGATACAAGACCCCCTCTTTTTTTACACACAATCTCGCGCGTAACACACATACACAATTGGTAAACATCATTAGCAGCAAAAAAGAGAAAAAGAAAAGAAAGAAACACCCCACCGCTTCCCCGCAATGCAAGAGAGACAGACAGAACAAGAATCGGAAAACACGTATCAAACGACATTAAACCCTTCTCCAGGGCTCATCGGTTGCGCTCATCTCCTTGCCTGTTGTCGGGCCAATGCGCTCCTCGTGCCTGCTGCTGCACCCGTAGGGGCCCTGACGGCCCCTGCTCCAAGTGTGGGCTTCTTGAAACCCGAACTTTGAGTTGCACCTCCACCAAGCGGAACATTCGCCGCACCAGTAAGACCGCCGAGGACCTTCTTCTCAGCTTGTTGTCTTGGAATCGGCGCCTTCCTCATTGAGATCCCCGAGTTCGCAGACTCATCTCTAGGCCGTTTCTTTCCCGCATTTTGTGGTGGAGCAGTTTGAATATGTCCAATTTTTGATGTCGAGGTCGATTGTCCAGCCCCTCTTCCACGCTCCATTCTACTTGCTGGCCTGTCGATTGCCATTCGACTACTAGGCCTATCCATTGTCCTACTTTCAGATGTCGCTCGATCCACTCTACTCACAGGCTTTGCGATGGCCCTGCCCTCCGAAGGTGCCCGGTCCATTCTACTCGCCGGCCTTGTGCTTGCACCGTATCTGTTGTTTTCAAGAGGAAGTTCATCTGGTACTGGAACTGCTTTTGTAATATTTTCGACGGGACTTTTCGGTAGCGGCACTGTTGCTGCGACTTCAGTTGTTTCTTTTCCTGCGGCATGCGCAAATTTACAGCAGGCACCAAACTTCCGTTCCATCTCGAGAAAGCACCACGTCTCCTCTGCTGCCATACGTGCACGGCGTTCCCCATTCAAGGCTGCAATGGCACTTTGAAGGCTAACTGTTGCATTTTCAAGTTCCTCCTCCAGTTGGGCAACACGAGCTTGGAGGCTGGTAATTGGATTGTTGTCTGGAAGGCTACTTTGAATGGGGGGGATCTTTTCTGTTTTTGCATCGAGGAGTGTTCGCGCTGGTGGGGCAGAGCTGGATCGATATTTTCGGCCACGAGGAGGGGATGGTATAGTCACTTCCGGTTGAGAAACCTCTTCAGCAATTGTCTCTGGGTATTCAGTATCAGCCTCGATAATTTTTGCCGAATTTTTAGCTGGGCTTTTAGCTGGGCTCTTTGCAGAATTCTTAGCGGGACTTTTTGCTGGGCTTTTGGATTTTCTGGTAGTTGTAGGGACCGATTCGATGGCATCCTCCGTTTTCTCGTCTATAACAGGTGGAAGGTATTCTTTCAAAGCTTCTAAATCCACGGAACTGAACTGCCTAAACTCTTGAGTCTCCCTTCTTCTTCTTTCCTCCTTTTTCTCCTCCGCGGTCAATCTCATGGGTGTAATGCTCTCGAAAAGGCCAAGAAACGCCTTTACAGGCGATTTCGAGCCGGTGCGAGAACTTGCTCGAGTCTTCCTAGCCGTTTTAGGCGTTTCTTTCGCCGGTGATCGGCGGCGCTTCTTGACTGTGATTGGAGTACCTTCGGCCGGTGGATTAAATTTTATCTTTTTTTCGGGCGACAAGTCGAAAAAGTCGTCGAAGTTGACCTGCGGCTGTCCAGGGGTTTGGGCAGATAGCATACCCTCCAAATGCCGAATCTTGGCTTCCTTCTCCCGTAACTGAGTGCTTAATTGGCCTTCAACACTCAATCCATATGCTTCTATACCGGCAGGCGACCCTTGAATAGTGTTTAGTCTATGAGGAGTTGCAGACGAGAGAGAAAAGTTGTTTATATTGTCTTCTGAAAACGCCGAGGGTAGAATATCAGGATTCATGAATGTTGAAGGGCCCAGTGACGCGCTGGGCGTCCCAAAAAAGTTCTTGCTGTTCGCCAAGAGTCTCCTAGCGGGTGTTGTATGTGATTTTGCTGAGTAATGCAGGCCCGGGAATTGGCGCTGAAGAGGAGTACTCATATTGAGAGGATTACTGCTTGGGTTCAAGCTTACCGCGACAGTTTTATCGAGATCTGCATATTCAGCCTGCTCAAAGTCATCTTCTGACGAATCCACCCCCTCCTCATTCACCTCCTTGTCCACTGCCTCCTTGCCCACTGCCTCCTCGTCCACTATCTCCTCGTCCACTGCATCCTCATCCAACACCTCCTCGTCAACCTCCTCGTCAACCTCCTCATCCGAGCCTGAATCTGGGCCCGACGATCGAGAGTCTTGACGGATAGATGAGTTAAGGTTCTTACTCCGTCGTGCAGCGCTGGCTTGCCCAGGATGATACTTCCCACCTCTTTGTTGGGGCCTTCCCCTTGGTGTTTCTAGTTCCTGAGGGCCAAGCATATTTAGTGGAGTGGGTGTATCCATATTTGAATATGCACCTTCAAGTTGCGTGCGCGTTGTTTTCGGTGTAGATTCGTCATTATCTGATCCGTGAACGTTGCGGTTGCGAGTACGGGGTGTGGGAGCAAGCACCGAAGACTGAGGTGTGTTGAAGTAGGCAGTGTCATCTCCGGGTGGTAGCGGGACAGAAGCTGCGTCTGAAGGTGAGGTCATGGCTGGTGGTTTGTAACAGGTTGGTGGAGGGGAGGTGGAGGTGGAGGTCGATGAAAGATGGATAGATGGATGTGTTGAAAGAGGAATGTACGATATCTCGCGTATGCAAGGAGGAACACTTTGTCTAAGCTGAAGCAGATGATGTATATAGAGGGGATGGATTGTTATTGATGGCGGGGGAGGGGGAGGGGAGGGGAGGGGAGGGGAGGGGAGGGGAGTGCAGGAGGGAGGAAGAGGACTATGCAAAGTTAAACAAGGGGCAAGTGTATTAACAAAGAAAATGATTGTTTTTGACGGTGTTTTGCCAGATCAGCCAGCTTTGTTCCGTGTCGCTATGGCAACGGTAGGGCAACGCAGGGATAAACAAAGGATATACCTGTTCAACAAATCTTTCTCCGGCAACGACTCTGTAACGCGCATACATCTTTCGAAAGTATCGACACCGGCGCCATTTGCATTTTCTCTCTCTAGGCATCGGTTTGTTATATCCTTCGACCCAATATCTTCTCTGTGGATTGGGCAGAGTTCTAATATCTAAAGTAAGAGTAAAGTACATATTTGTAACTTGTGAATATTGCCTACTTGCACATCTCATCATCCCACCACACTTCCTCTCAACTGTAGCCTCCTCGCTACATAGCCATTATTAGCCTCTATAGTGTTCACAATTCCGTTTCCTGACTCTCTTTTCCTGGCTGTGAAGTGCCTGCCTTTTTCTTCCGTCATAACTCTATACTATACTTCCTACATCTCCGTTAATTCTTTCGCCTTCCTCTCCCACATTCTCTCTTAGCTAGCCCTTTCAGTATATACCCCCCCTTCTGTGCTGCATATTGGTACCTACATACGACCAGCATACTCTTCATCAATCCAGGACACGAACTCCTACTCCTCCTCCTCCCAACCCCACACGTGCTAGTTAGTGTCCACCGTCTGTGCCGGCGCCCTTCGGTTTCGCACTCGGTCACTCACCACTCACTTACTCACCACTCACAACACTTCCCACACACTCCTTCCTGAGTTTCCTCAACCTCCATTCCTTCCTCGACCAACCCCGACATTCAGCCAACCCATCTTCTACTTCAACGCGTTTATCCGTTGCCTCAATTTCTGTCCGTTAACAACCCTCCCGTTGCTTCATATTCTGTCACCACCACTGCCCTATACTTTTCAACTCATTTTACCGTGATCCGCTGGACGTGGCTATGCAGAGGGCTCTTCTCTAACCGCCCACTCCCAGACGTACACGAAGGAGTCCGTCCCCTTTGTGAAGGAGTGTTTTGTGCATCAGACTTTCAACATCTCGGTTCATTTGAATATTCTCGTAAACTCCTTGCATCCGGTTTCTGTTTCCACATTTCTTGAAAAAAAAAAAAAGGTAGATATTTCAATTAATCCCCCGGCTACATTTGATTTTCATTCATATATATCATATACTAATTCTCTATCAGATTTGCTATTTGATCCAAAAGTGATAATGTCGCCAACAAAGCCTGTCTCGGCTCCCGTTAGAAAAATGCCAACAACTGGATCGTTTATTCCCCGCCGTGTCAAGACAACATCCAAAGTATCAACCAAATCGATAACTTCTTCATCCAGTACAACAGACCCTTTGAAAAAGAAGGTTCCTGTCAAAACTTCCAACATCAAGAGTTCCAGTACCAAGACACTTTCTATATTCTCGGATAAGACTGCAACTCTTGCCCCGACGTCAACCGTGTCATTGTTTTCCAACATTGCGGAGGCCAATAAGGAAAACATGCCATGTGGGCCGTCAAGATCAAGCGTTAATCGTGCTAACAATAATGGAGGATCTCCAATAAGGCTACGGTGTGAGTATCTCATCATTATACTCCCTTTTCTCTCTCTTTATGCAATCAACCATTGAAGACTTGTGACGCATACCTCCCGTCTTGGAGTTGAATATCGATGACTTTCCAGTGAATGCTTGATTCTGCATGATTTATTTCGTTCTATATCCTTCCAATGACACTAACGCGTCTATCATATCAGCTGGTATTTCCAAGAACATCTCCCAGAAATCAACCCACAAGAAAAAGACTTTCGGTTATAATCGTATTCCCCTTCGTGAACTTGATACCCAAGAGGTCTTTGAGAGAGATGAAGCAGTTCTTGGAGATCTTCGCCGTCGTAGATCTGGTGAACACAGTGGCGCCATAATCGAAGTCGAATCGGTCCTTGCGTACCCCTCTCCGAACACGGCTAATGCTACTACTGCTCGTGCGTCATCGAGTAAACATTCGGCTACAGGTGTCACTGGGACCATTACAGCGACTGAATACTACCAGGATGACTCCGCTGATGAGCGCGAGCAAGAAATTCGCACCAAAATTGATGTTATTCTAGCCTCTACTTCCGGGGACTCTAAGGGCAAAGGCAAGATTATGGCAAAGACCATTCGCCAAAGGTCCGCTCACCCAGCTGTTCGTCAGATGTCACCAGCTTTATCGCCATACCGCTCTGAGGCCTCTGCTCCTTCGTCCCCCGTAAAGTCTCAGGTTGATTCTCCCCTTCGTATTTACCGCTCTCCATCACCGAGAAAGGCCTCTCCCTCTCCTATTCGACGTTCTCAAAGAATTGGCTTAGGTACAAAGGCTGTCAACACACTTTTGGCGGAAAAGAAACTGGTTGCCACTGTAGAGGGCAAGGAGGGTGAGAAAACGAAGAAGGTTATCATTACCACTTCTGCTGCTACAAGCGGTGCATTGAAGAAGAAGTCCAGTACGACGAGGAAGTTTGGAACTAGCTCCTTAAGGAGAGCTGCTGGCGGTGCCACGACCTCGGTCTCAGCAAGAGATCCCTCTAGGCCTCCTTTGGCTCTCACTGGAGGGAGGGTTATGGGATTGGAAGGAATGCGCAATATGCGATGATGCTTGTTACAGAGACGGTGGTTTATTGGAACGACCACAATTGTGTAAGCGTCAATTGGTTGTTTGATCACGATACAGTGATTTTTATACTGTATTGTGCCCAGTAGTTCTGGCATATTCATGTGGTGGCTGCGGCAACGGAGTTAACTTCCTCTTTTAGGTTCTTCATGTTAGTGTTCTTTAGTGGCTTTAGTGTAGGTCATATGGATTGCGTCTACGTTTATCCTATGTGCGTGTTTGCGGGTGTCCATTATTAGCTACGATACGTTTGTGTACTTCTTATATCATGTTTTGTCTTTTTTTTTTTTTTTTTTTTTTTCAGAGAAATGGTAATGTTTCTCGTATAGGTATAACTTGGGGAATGAAAAATCTGAAATCCTGAAGAGAAAAAAAGGATGGAGAAAAATTGTTTTATTGGGCGCTGGCGTTGTTTTTTTGTGTTTTTTATTTTATTTATTTATCGGATCCTATTTTTATTTTTCTTCAAATTGCACTGCGGCGCGGGGTGTTTGCGTGTTTTTGGTTTGGAGGGAATGGGGGAGAAAGCATTGCTAGGGCAACGAGCGCAACAAACTATTCTATGCTGCCTTTTAGAGGCTGGCTGTTTTACATTCACAGACCCAGGGGAGGGGCGTTCTTTTTCTTTCCTTTGTTATTTTTCTTGAATATGGACCTTATGAAAACTTCACGACCTTAGATGCTAAAAACAGGCTACTATAGACTACATAAATTTTTTATAATCAAGTTGGGGGTGTTCGTTTACGTTCACGTTCACGTAAGTGCGGAGAAGTTCGCGTTTAATGAGGTTGAGGTTGAAGTCGTGTTTTTCCTATCTCGGAACGCGATGGGCTGGCGCTAGAGCAACTAAATTAGTTCAACTGCCCTTTCCCCCTCCTTTCGTACGCGCATGGTTCGCGACAGGGCCGGGGATTGGCAGAGGCTTACTGGGTACATCATGTAATGTAATTTACGTACCAGTCATTCATGCGATGTGATGTGATGATGGGGCTGGGGATGGGGGGGCATGTCATCTGGTATGGAGATGTGGGGCGGTGTCCCGACATGAGGCTGGTAGCCCGAGTGATAGTATGTGATTGGTCATGTAATATCACTCGGTGGTAATTTTAAGGTGGGATTGGTTTTGTAACGATTTACGGGCGCTTTCCTGATTTCCGTGATAGATATGAACTCTTAAATTTGCTATATACCTAGATAGATGTGAATGGGGAGCTGAATATTGCTAAACGTCCGTCACTACGTAGGAGCGCATCCGATAGTTATGCCTATCGTATCTCTAAACCATATTATTTCTCTGCCTTCAGGCGGTGAGACGTAGAGAGAGGCTGTGGCTGCTGGCTACAAGGCCATTCTCCCTCTCCTTATGTTCTTCTTTTTCCAATCCTCACAGGTTGTAGAATCAACTGGGTAAGTAAGGCTAAACCGATCAGAAGGCCCCGGACAGCCACGCTAGACTCGTTATTTTGTACGAGGAGAGTTATTTCTCTTTTCTAAGCGAGCCATTTGAGTTTCAAATATAGCCTGGCGGTATGCGCCTACAACTGTATTTACGGTTGACAGCAACCCTTTATATGCGAGTGATATTTCATGATCCAACAATCCATAGGCACTAATTTAAGTTTTCCAGACGATAAACATGATCAGTCTGCGTGTGTGTCAAGGCATATCTATTGGTTATCTGGGTACATATGTCGATGCTTAGGATCTGAGACATTCTCATCATAACCCCTAGCCCTGTGTCCGAGTGATATTCTATGCAGCATGAACTCGTACGATACAGTCAAGGATCGGAATCAGACTATGGCGCATCTTTTTTTATTCTTACACCATACTACAAGCCCACGAAAAACGACAACCATTTCCCAACCCTACACTCCAAACTGAATCCTCCTCAAGTATATATCCCTTCGGATTATTTTGGTTCCTCTCAATTCATAGGTATCGTGACAAAGGAAATACACGCCAAAGTAAAAATAAGATAAGGGGCTAATATTCACTATACTCCTCCCAATCAAAGAAAAATATTGCAAAAACAAGCAGTATCATGGAACCCGTTTAAATCCATATCGGTGCCTTGACGAGAATACTCCTTCCTCTAACTTCTACCGCCATGAATCCAGCAACTCTAACCTTCTCGTTCTTCGGGGCCTCTGGTGCGCTAGGTGTCTGTGCAAGTGAAACTTGGCTTCCAGCAGCTCCCGGCCCATTTTGCTGTACCTGGGGGGGCATATTTGGACTTGATGGCGGTGGGGAAGTAATCCCTCCTCCCTGGAGTGCCTTTTTCACTCGAGAGAAACCACCGACCTTCTTCCCGGGAGGTTCTTTGGGGTTCTGTTGGGGCGGTGTTTGTGGTGGAAGACCCCCGATTCCGGCCCTTGATGATGGCATGGGTTTCGGATCGTCCTTGGCCGGCAGGAGCGGTGGTACCTGAGTTTCTCCATCCGCCGGCGCATCTTCTTTACCTTCGCCGTCACCGGTAGGTTTTTGGGCTGTTGGTGCGGCCAAGGGTGGAATACCCGTCTCGGGCTTCATGAACTTTGTATCGAACCTTTCTCCCGGATGAGGGTACCAGACCTTTACTTCTCTAGACTCAAGGGGAAGATTTGCTGCAAGGCCTATAGCAATATCTACAATCATCTGCACGCCCCCAAGCAAGCCCATCGGCGCCGGCTCATGAAGGTGCTGTTGTAAACTTTCGACTAATTTCTTAACCAAATACTCGGCCAAACGAGTTTTGACATCCGCAGCTTGTTTGCCATTGATAACACCTTGAAGCGCATCCAGAGTAGTGAGTCTCCAATTGCACACGCGTGTACTTAACGCATCGTCTTCCTCACTGGATTGTGGCAGTGGTGTGTTTTTCCTGATGCCTTGCTCGATAATTTTCAATTGAGTACTCAAATTGATATCCAGAGCAGGATGAAAGAACTGTTCGAGAATTTCATCAACAACCCATCTGGAGATACTAGCTCGTCCGACAACAGTCATTTCGCGACCGCCCTTCAGCTCAGCACCAGTATTTATGACACCTACGAGCCATCCTGGAATCGTCTTCCAGGACTGACGAATCTCAAACGCAACGTTTTTGATGGCGCCATCGAGGCGTTCAAAACGTGAGACATACTCGTTGTCATCCAGTGAAGTACGTGATTGAGAAAGACGCTGGTGGGCGAGGGTATTTTGGAGACGCTCGATCTCGGACTTGCTCTCAAAGTAAAGGTTTTTAACCTTGCGGTACTTGCCCTCTACATACTCATGGTTGTTAGCATCCTCAAGCCACTACTCAAGAAACATATTTACCATCCTCAAGTCCACTCGGATTCACGACTAAAAACGAGATGTGGAAGGACTTTAAAGTCCGGGGAGAAATGGATTAAGAATAAGTCACTGGTGATAGTATAAAATGCACGTACGCAAAGTTTCATGTTCCTGGACTAATTGCGGAACATTTATAGCTTCTGGAGCTTGTGCTGCTCGAGCATCGGATCGGGCATCAGCCCCAGATTTCTCTGGTGTCATTCTTCCTTGTTGTCCCTCGAACTTTGCTGGGTCATAGGGCAGTTGTGATTGACCATTATTACCGGCTCCGGAAGCCCCACCTTGATTCTGGTAGGATTGTTGCTCAGTCCCTCTGTTGTTTTGATGTGCTCCTTGTCCAGAATAACCCTGCTGTCCTAAACCAGATACCTCGCGGGAAGGAGGGCCTGTCTGATGGGGAGCATCCGTTGACCGACGCGGCGCATTATTTTGTTGAACTGGAGTCATCAGGGCACCTCTTTGGTCCTGCTGTTGGGAGTTTGTTTGTTGATAGTCTTGCTGATATTGCGGCGGGTGTGGTTGTTCGTAGTACCCTTGCTGTTGTGGAGGCGGCTGCTGATGATGGTGCTGATGTTGCTGCTGTTGATGCTGCTGTTGCTGGTGTTGTTGCTGGTGTTGCTGCTGCTGTTGGTGCTCAACAGTGCCTTGGTGGTTTTGCTGATACCCCTCTTGGTACTGTTGTTGCTGTTGTTGCTGCTGTTGCTGTTGTTGCTGCTGTTGCTGTTGTTGCTGCTGTTGCTGCTGTTGCTGTTGCTGGTGGTTATAATGCTGTTGCTGTTGGGCCAAATGGTCAGACTCAAATGAGTGCTGTGTGTCTGTGTCAGTCTCGAGTGGAGACGGGAGCATAGACTGAGGTCTGCTTGAACCTCCGGCCGAGTGAGAGACTCGTATTGGCGAGTGTTGAAGATAAGGGTCTAAGCTACCGTTATCGGAGTGCTGCTGCTGCTGATAATGCTGAATAGGCGCAGGCTTGTGATGGCGTAACGAGATACGTCTAGAGATACTTGATGCTGTACTTTCTGGCTGAGGAGAGGGGGGGCCAGGGTTTCGTTCTCGGTGGAGAAGCTTTCTTGTTGAAGTGGTGTGAGAAGAGGAGGTGGAGGGGGGTGAGGGGTTGTTGTCGCTGTGGTGGTAGTGGTTGTTGTTGTTATTACTCAGTTCAGCCGCACCTTTGTCAATGGGTACAAGTTGAACGGTCGTACTAGGATGTTTGCCAGAATAACTGTCCAAGACCGACTGACTGGAGAGAGGGGCAGATATAGTTGGGCGGCCGGGGGGGGCTGAAGAGTTTTGCGCAGGGGATAATGAAGAAAGGCGGTTTTGGGAGTGCCCTTTACCACTACCGAAGAAAGAAGGCATAGGCATGGTGAAAGGGCAAAACTATTTAAGGGGTGGTGGTGGGAGGAGGGGGAGTGCGTAGAAGAAAAGTGAAAACTAAATAAGGACCTGGGCCGATGGAGAAGAAGAAGAAACGCACACACAGAGCGTTTGATACTACAATATGTATGTAATGTACTATGCACTCTGATGGAACGGGGAGAGAGGCTGAAGCGCCCTAGAGCAGTAAGAGATGGAAGGAGGGAAGATACACCTTCTCCTAAACGGATACGTGAGGGGGGAGTGAAAGGAAGGAGCGGACGGGAAGACGAAGAGAAGAGGGGAGGAAGAAGGAGTGAAGGCGAGCGCGAGTGAGTGATTGGGAGAGGGGGGGGCGCTTCAATGTTGGATGGCGCGGAAGCCAGAGGTGAATGTCCTCCTCTCTCCCAGGTCTCCCAGGGTCTCTAGATTGCTTCTTCGTACTCGGTATGCGGTGTAAATACAGTACCGTAGCTATTCAATTCCTCATGTATGCACTAAAGCAGGGCAAACTGCTCTAAAAGTGTTGCCAATTCCGAACGGAGATGTATGTACGTTAGTATAATTTACGTTCACGAACCAGATGGATGGATGGATGGGCATGGGGCCAGAGAATCGGAAGCCGAGAGAGCTCTTCTTTCCACTTCTGCACACTATCTGATCTAAGAGCACAACGTGAATTATTGCCCCCCTCAACTCCAAGTCTTTCCGTTACTCATTGCCCTGTGTGCAGTGTGCAGTGTGCACTCAGGTTCTTCCCCCACCCACCGGCTGAAGGACGCCCCTCTCCGACTTTGGAGTAGTAAACCTCTCCCCAGTCCCTGTCGTTACCGTTTCAGCCTTAGTCTTGGCTGTCCGCTATTTCCCTGTGGCTATTTTTGGCGGCCGGCGGGGCGGTGTTCGAGTGCAACCCCGCTATTCTTGCCTTTTTTGACTCGGTAAGCTGTGAGATATGTATCACCTACAGTACCGTGTGAGGGATATGGATATTTGTTGAGTGAAAACATAAGCTGAAGCTGTAGGAACCTCTCTGTCTGTAAGGGTCATGAGATGTAGGTGCGGCTGAACGTAAGCTAAGTTAGACTTAATTTCTTTAGCGAGGGCCTTATCAGGGCGACAAGGCGATAGGGTTAGGGTTGTTGCTATCGTCACCCATCCTCACTCGATGTATATACAGCAGATGTTTCTCGATTGATTTAGTCACTTTCAAGCTAACCATAATTGGTACTGGTAAAGAGTCTTTGAGCGAGATTAGATACATGTGTTAGACATCTCCTCCAGAGTGAACTACATGTAATCTATTGCCGTCCTGGGGCTTCCAACCGCCTGTTCCTGGATCATGGAATAACCCCGATTGAAAAAAGACACATAATGTCCATCTCTGCTTGGAATAGCACCACCATAAATCAATATCGAGGAAATGTCCTGATAATGCTCCGGATCCATATACATCAGTTTTTGCGCAATTTCCAAAGGCCCATTCCCATGTCTATCCTTCGCATTGACATCTGCCCCAGCATGTAGTAAAGTCCTCACAACCGAGAGAGAAAATTGGCGTGTCGCAAGATGAAGGGGTGTTTTGCCACGATAATCCTTCGCGGAGACTTTGGCGCCGTTCTTGATCAGAAGTATCACTATGGCATTGGATACCTCCTCATCATTTACTGCCAGATGAAGTGGAGTTCTACCGTTGTTGTCCTGCGCATCAACGTCCACACCTTTCCCCAATAGCTCTCCCACCAGCCCCTCGTTCTTGTCTTTTACTGCCATATGAAGTGCACTCCACCCATACACCCTGTCAACACCAGCCAGGCGAAGCGACTCAGCTATCATATATCTAGCCAGACTCCCGTTGCCATTTTTCCTTGCCACTGCCACCGCGCATTGTGTCTGTTCCAAAAAAGACTTAGGATTGAGCTTAATCAAAAGCTTTGCCATCTTATCGTTGTTTGCCGAAATTGCCATCGTTAAGGGCGTGAGCCCCCCATATAATTCAGTGTCATTGAACGAGGCCTTCCTCGACGCCAATGCTCCCACTTCATCCTCGAAATTGTGCAGCGCCGCCCAAAACAGCGGTGTACAGAAGTGTCCCCGGCAACTTACGTAGTACTTTATATGGACAGTCTTGAATAATATCTTCAAGATCGCGATGTTGTCGGTATCGGTTTTGTCGGTTTCGAATCTAGACACGGCGGTATCAAATGGAACGTCTAAGTTTCGGGAACGGAACATCGCCGCAGGATTCAAGACCTCGGTAAAATGTTTAACCATCTTCACATTTTTGGTATATATAGCATGCATGAGTGCAGTACCGACGTGGTGCTCGCGGTACGAGGGCAGAATGCGTCGTTCTAGTCTTATCGTCGTAGGTCTCGCCATAACACGGGCTGTAATTTCATCGATGTTATCTACAGTGGCTAATATCTTGTCAGGGTGGTCGGGGGGGTCGTAAAAGGTAAGAGGCTCAGTAATATGGGTAAACAAGCGGCGGAAGGTAGTTTCGTTAACGCGGGCAGTGATGGCGTAATGAAGCATTAACGTAGGGGATGTGCAATTTGCGGAGAATGATTCGGGAAAGTGCGGGTAAACGATGCTATAGAAGCGATGACAGGTCATCAGGAGATCCTTTGGGTTTTTAACATAGTGGGCGATCTCATAAAGGAGCTCGTTGGGGAGGTCGAGGAGGAATATTTGTTTTCGTTGCGGCATCTTGTATGACTTTTAAGAAGGTTATCTAGATCAACAGCTACTCGGATATATATGTGCTTGGTGCAGTACCGTATTTATATCCCTTTGAGCCTATGTGTCATTCAAATTGGCGGTGCAGGGATGTGCGCAGAGCTTCCGCAGCTGCGGCTGTGTCGGGCGGTCGGGCATATGGTATATAAGTAAATAAATAAATAATACGGTGGAATGTATCTTCCTGCAGATACGGTACTGTAGTTTTAATCTTAATGAAATCGTTTAGCGATGATTCAAGAGAACATTAGTTAGTAGGCATAATTGCAGCTGATGTGATCATTGACCCCGGCTGTTACAAGCGTAAGGCAGCCTATGCCCGTTACCTATTCTGGATTATTCCAGCTAAAGCAAAAAGGAACATTCCACATCTCATAGTTCACAGGAAGGCATGGTTGGAAGCAATGTCGCTATAATGATTTCTCTCCAAACCAGCACGAGAAGGGTTTACATATGAGTCATAAAATTATTGGCGAAAGTGCGTTTAAAGTTCAGGCCGCCAAGTATTACGGGCTGATCATCAGATTAGATTAGATGCGATAAGGGCACTAACCCCGCAACAGTCCCATTCCACACTTCGTCAAGTGCAACCACACAACCGTAACAACAGCGACTCCCAGTTACTCCAAAATTTCAATCTACAAACGACTCGACAACCCACCACACCAACCTAAAGGGCCCGACGCCGAATTACCAAAACAGCTCGCCCAATATGTAAGGATTTCTCTCCGTATTTTCTGGTTCGGCTGGGATGGGTGGAATTGGCCTGGGAGAGAAACGAGGGGATGGGAAGTGTTTTGTGGTGGTTGCAGCGGGTTGATTGAGGTGGAAGGGAGGACATGAGGAAGCGAAAAACAACGGATTGGGGAAATGGCGTGCTAACGATACTGGTGGTATTAATAGGTCTCTCGTCGCCGGCGAGAAGTCGAACTTCCAGTTCATTGTAAGTCGCCTCTTACAGCCCCAGCCTCATTCTGGAGATTTCGACACCTCCGCATCTCGCTACGGCAAATGAACGGAGAATATGGAACGGATCGAGAAGTTTGGACGATACAGAAGCTAACAGCATTTTTCAATAGCTCCGTCTTCTCAACACCAATGTTGACGGAAAGCAGAAGGTTATGTACGCCCTCACCAAGATAAAGGGTGTCGGTCGTAGATACTCCAACTTGGTCTGCAAGAAGGCCGATGTTGATCTCAACAAGCGGTACTAGCTCCTCGCCCTTCCATTTCTACACTATATCTCTAACATTCATATTCTCCAGTGCCGGTGAGCTCACCACTGAGGAGCTCGAGCGTATCGTGACGATCATCCAGAACCCCACCCAGTACAAGATCCCCACCTGGTTCTTGAACAGGCAGCGTGACATCGTCGACGGAAAGGACACCCAGATCCTTGCCAACGCCCTCGACAACAAGATGCGTGAGGACTTGGAGAGGCTGAAGAAGATCCGTGCCCACAGAGGTCTCAGACACTACTGGGGTCTCCGTGTCAGGGGTCAACACACCAAGACTACCGGTACGTTCTCCCCGCTGAGCGTGGTTCTATGGGGAGGAAGATTGGCTGACATGAATTTTGTGAACAGGTCGTCGTGGTCGCACCGTTGGTGTGTCCAAGAAGAAGGGTTAAACGATTTCTATTTCTTCTTTCTTTTCTTTGGGTTGTGTGCGCATGGTAGTGGGAATAAAAAAAATTATATAGTGTACACAAATCAAAGATGTTGAGCGCTATATGATTGTTGTGTGGCCCCTATGTGCGAACAAAAAAGGGAAGCAAAAGTTCAGCGCGGGTTTTTCTGTGTATAAATTTTACGGTTCTGGGTTTTCAAAATAGCGAGTGCTCCAAAGTTCAGATGAAGGATTTATATTCAGCAGTTCCTTGTGGCGGGTGTGGGTGATGTATTGTGATTTCTCTTCGGACTGTTGTAGTAAGGTGTATCTTCTAGGGGACTGATGCAGTAAAGTGCGGATAAAAGCTCTTATCGTGTAGCGGGAAAACAGAAACATAAGGTCAAGAAATCATTGACAGCTGAATTCCGGATAATGTTTCTTAATAAGGCTGGTTAGTTAGTCCGTAAAGTCTACAGGACATAAGGTCATGTAGACATGAGGGTTATAGAGGTGTTCCTGCTGGACTGAATGAGTACGGTACACTATGAGCCATAACCTGAACCATAACCGTCATACGGAGATAGTAATCGCAGCTTCTCACCCGGGCTCATAGAACTTTCCCTCCAGGGCATAGACGCTTACCAACTCTTGGCACTGACGCACCTCCGACAGCCCATTTTCTTTCTCTTCGACATTTCAACACCAACCCCGCTACAAAGACTTCATTCCCCTACCATAACTGTTTCACACGAGAATATACACACCGGAAACAAGCACGATGCCGATTAACCAAGTAAGCACCCTCTCTCAATCAGGCCAGTCCTAAAAATCAGTATTAACACCATAGCAGCCCTCAAACCAGATCAAACTGACGAATGTCGCCGTCGTCAAAATGAAAAAAGGTACCCACGGCCCCCCCGCGCACTATCAGTCTTACCCAATAACTAACAACCCACAGGCAAAAAGCGCTACGAAATCGCCTGCTACAAGAACAAAGTCCTCGAGTACCGTTCTGGCGTGTAAGTATCCTCTCCCAACCTACCACCCCCACCCACTAACCCACACGCTAGCGAAACCGACCTCGACGAAGTCCTTCAGATCCACCAAGTCTTCACAAACGTCTCCAAGGGCGCCGTCGCCCCGCACGCCGACCTGCAAAAGTCCTTTGGCGCCTCCACGCAACTCTCCGACATCATCCTCGAGATCCTGCAGAAGGGCGAGCTGCAAGTCGGCGAGAAGGAGCGCAATGCGAAGCTCGAGATGGTCCACAACGAAGTCATATCGCTGGTCGCAAACATGTGTGTCGACCCGGAGACGAAGCGTGTCTACACAGGGACCATGATAGAGAAGGCGCTGCAGGAGCTGAGTTCGCGGAAGAGCGACGAGGAGGGCGTGCCGGCGTGGCATGGCGTCACGGATAAGAAGAGTAGTAAGGCGCAGGCGCTGGAGGCCATTAAGGCACTTGTGTATCATCAGCCGGTGAGGATTGCGAGGGCGCGCATGAGGTTGAGGATCGTCTGTGTTAAGAGGGTGAAGGAGAAAGTTGAGGAGTTTGTGGAGGAGGTTGAGGAGGAGGGGTATGAGGGTGGTAACTGGGAGTGTGTTGGCTTTGTGGAGCCGGGGAGATATAAGGGACTGGTTGACCTGGTTGGGCAGGAGACGAAAGGAAAAGGAAGAGTCGAGGTGTTGGACACTGCGGTGAGTTCTGGATCCTCATTATTTCCTGGTGTTTATTTCGAGAGTTTGACTGACTGTTTGGTGATAGGTTGTGCACGAGGGGTGAATTTTGGGTTTCCTTATTTTTTGTTTTCTTAGGTATTCCATGGTGGATAAATAAAATGCGAACCGGAGTTTCTTTTGATTCTTTGTTTTATATCGGTCTCCATAATTCATTACATTTGCTCAAGCACATTAATGGGCATCCGGCCCTTCTTCAATATCGTCCCTGAGTCCTGGATAGTGTTGACGCGCTGATAAAGCTGCATCCAGCATTCAGATCCTTCAGGCATTGTGGACTTAGGTACAGCTGGATCTGGCAGCTTAACAGGCTAGCACCCACATGCAGACCTTACGGGCTGGAGTAGGTACTCCCTTGATTCCTATCTACATGCTACTCTAGAGCCGATAGACTATATCAATATAGGCACACTCATGAAGTACCCACCACTCTGCTGGTCGCGTGCCTTCCCCTTATCTCGGATGTTCTATCGGGGACTTCTCGAATATGCCTTCATATATCCAGCCAATCGATATTGGGCTTCCCCTGAGCCCAGGAACGTCAGGAGTTTACCCTACTACCGCATCCAGTGATCTCGATCCAGCTCCCATGCATGTGGGTATACACATAACCGGAGTACCTCCTCCCCCAAGGTACATACATTGGCCCATTGTACCTAGACTCGTAAGTACCGTAAGTAGAGCACCTACGTAGCCAACGCAAATACAATGGCTCAGGCCTCAACACGTAGGTACTAGGTACTCGTCGAATGAGTAATTGTTTCCGATTGGCTTGTTATCCGCAACCTGGGAGACAGGCCTACATTGGTAGTTTAGGGTTGAGGGCTTTGGCTTGTTTTGATGATCCAATCCAGACGGATGTCCTAAACCTTGATTCCTGATCTCGGTCTCAACTGGGAATAGCTAGCGCTAGAGATCCGCGTTAGGCAGCTCGCGACCGGGGGTGTCTGTGGCGCAAACAACAACGCGAACCGGATTAGGGGGCTGATAACGAGCCACGACATCCCATGATCACAAGACTCCGCGTGAAACTGGGAATCCCTGCTGTCTCAACCAACCCTGGGGGTGAAGTCTGGGGTTTTACCCTAGCCATGCGGCGGCTGCCAGCTCATGAGAGAGAGAGAGAGAGAGAGAGAGAGAGAGGGAGAAGAGAGGCTCGTGGGTGCTCACTCTACAATGTAGGTACCTGCTCTGTGAAAGGAACCACAAGCATGCAAGCTGCACGGAAATCTGCCCGGAAGGGTTCTCTCGGCTGACCTTGATAGCTCCCTGATTATGATAGGCACCGTGCTGTGTGTGATCGGCCCGAGCGCTGTCGTAGCCCAGCCGGGACCTGCGTTATCCTGCGCACCGTTATCTGGGGAACATCTCAGACCCGGAGGCTGGGCACCCACATCTTCCATCTGAGCGCTGATTGGCCCGGTGTTACTAGATATCATGCGTCATTATCTGGGAGCCTTCCTTTCTAGCCACACCCCCCTAGCTGTATCTTCTACGGGACGAGGTTAATCCTGTCCCCCCCTCCCCCCCCCCCCCAAATCATCCATGTCCCCAGGTTTGGCAGCGATCGTGGGCTCGTTCGCATCAGTCATCCGCCGCGTAGGTCTCGACACAAAACCCGCGTCGTTCCCTCCTCCTCTTTGCTTTCTTCTCCAGCTCTGCTCGAAAACCTTCGTCTGCACCCATCATCCAATCTTCCCCCCCATAGTAGAAGAACTCTTTGCTGGTTCATCTCCCCCATAGCATCACTATCAACTATCAAAGAACCCCATCCACTCTTTGCATAAACACATCATGAAGCTTTCGGTAGCTTCCGTTGCGGCCCTCTCCTTAGCCGGTGGGGCATACGCCTTCTTCCCCAACACTGAGCAGAACCCCCTCATTGCCTCTTCTAAGTCTTCCTCTGCTCTCTCCCCGTCTATTGCCCAGATCCAGGAGCAGCTTTCTGCCCTTGGTGGGGAGCACACTGCCGAGGCCATTACGGCATGGAACCGTATCGCTGAGTTGTACCCCGAGGACACCATCTCCGCGGTGCAGGCATTGCTCAACAAGAGTAAGCCAAAGTCTGGCGTCAAGAAGATCCCCGATAACAAGTGGGATTACGTTGTCGAGGGCAATGATGTTGTGTCCGCCCTTGGAAGCAAGATCGGTGGCCACGAGAAACTCAAGGGGACGAAGTTGAGGATCAAGAAGCCCAATGGTCTTGGAATCGACAAGGACATCAAGCAGTACTCTGGGTACCTTGATGTCGACGATGACGACAAGCATTTCTTCTTTTGTAAGTACCACTTTCCGCGAACATCTACCGAGCAATCGCTTACGTCTATAATACAGGGTTCTTTGAGTCTCGCAATGACCCCAAGAACGACCCCGTAGTCTTGTGGCTCAACGGTGGTCCTGGGTGTTCGTCGCTTACTGGGCTCTTCATGGAGCTTGGCCCTGCGTCGATCAACGCGAAGATCCACACCGTTGACAACCCATACTCATGGAACTCCAACGCGTCGGTTATCTTCCTTGACCAGCCAGTCAATGTTGGATACTCTTACTCTTCTAGCCAGGTTTCTAGCACCCAGGCTGCTGGTAAGGACGTTTACGCGTTCTTGACCATGTTCTTCAGCCAATTCCCCGAGTACTCTGCTCAGGACTTCCACATCGCTGGTGAATCTTATGCCGGACACTATATTCCCCAGTTCGCGACTGAGATCCTCGAACATGAGGACCGCAACATCAACCTCAAGTCTGTCCTGATTGGTAACGGTCTTACCGACGGAAAGACTCAGTACAACTACTACCGCCCCATGGCTTGCGGTGAGGGTGGATACCCGTCTGTCCTCAGCGAGTCTGAGTGCCAGGCTATGGATGATGCCTACCCCCGCTGTGCTTCTATGATCGACAACTGCTACAAGTCTGGTTCCGTTTGGTCTTGTGTCCCTGCCTCCATCTACTGCAACAACGCCATGATGCGCTCTTACCAGAACACCGGAAGGAACGTCTACGACATCCGTGGCAAGTGCGAGGACACTGACAACCTTTGCTACTCTGAGATGGGCTGGATTCAAAAGTACCTGAACAAGGAGAATGTCATGTCTGCTCTCGGTGCCGAGGTTTCCTCATACGAGTCTTGCAACTTCGATATTAACCGTAACTTCCTTCTCGGTGGTGACTGGATGAAGCCATTCCACAACTTCATTCCTCCTCTCCTTGAGAAGATCCCTGTCTTGATCTACGCTGGTGACGCCGATTTCATTTGCAACTGGCTCGGAAACCACGCCTGGACTGAGGCTCTTGAATGGCACGGAAAGAAGCAATTCAACAAGGAGCCCCTTACACCCTTCATGGTCAATGACGAGGAGAAGGGCCAGATGAAGTCCTCCAACAATTTCACCTTCGCTAGAGTCTACCAGGCCGGACACATGATGCCCTACAACCAGCCCGAGGCCTCTTTGGAGCTTCTCAACAGGTGGTTGTTTGGTGACTACTGGGCGTAGATGATGTACGGGTGTAACAAGTGTTAATGTGGGTTATCTCGGGATGAAGGGTATGCTAGTGACATGATACGATAAATACGCGGTGTTTCTACTTTTTTTTTTTTTTTTTTTTGCTTTGGTTTTATGGGCGGATCCCATGGGTTTCTCTGTATTGTAGGGTCATCATTATTGCATTTTAGTAATTAAGTCTTTTGGTTTTATTCAGTGAATAAGTTAAACCCAATCTTGTCTTGAGTTTCCTGAGTCTTGTGCGCAACACGTGATTACCTAGTGACGAATACGCCTTCAACGGGAAACTGTTTAAAGCAACATGCACGGTTTCTGGTGTAGGTTCCCTATCACGAACTGGAAGCTGTAAACACGCTGATAGGGCAACGGCCATTCCTGCTTCCTCCGTCTTTTGCTATATTACGCCCTGGCACTCGCAATTAGGCAGAAAGTAGAAGACGGCATATCAGCACACCTATGGCAGGGGTAGTCAAAGTTCAAAAGACCGAGTTAGAATCGGAGTTGGGGCAATCTGACAAAACATATGTTTGCGATTTATTTTCCTGGGAGTGCCGAAAAGGCATGAATAACTAAAAGCCTTCTCAACTCCAACTTTTCGGTGCACGCTATACCGCCGCTACCACATGCCCTTCTAGTTGGAATATTTATTCATCTAAAGAGTGCGACTAACTACCCATTCTGGGAACCTCTTAAATTTTTCGTTCAAACCTGCTAAAACATGTGAAGTGAAAATAAAGGGGGATATCATGCAGTGTGTATATACGCCAGGAATCAAAAACAAAGTATATACTTAGGGGCCATGCCAAATGAGCAATGAGGAAAATAGAAAAAGAAAGAAAAGAAAAAGAAAATGTATATCTTTTATAGCTCCAGATTGTACGCTAAATTTTCTCCGCAACCCAAAACTCAGCCTCGTAGGAGTGAGTCAACATGCTCATACCGTCACCCACATACGCGGTATTCCCCTTGCCCCTCTTGACAATCTTGAATCCGTAAGCGGGAATCAGCTCCAGGACCTCCTCAAGAGATATCTCGAAGCTGCCATCTCCTTCTTCCCTTTTTGGCGGACGGTGGTCCTCGTAGTGCCACAGGAGCGGCCCGAAATTGATCCACACACCGCCTGGGACGAGGAGATTCCGGATTGTTTCGAGGTATGCGCATAAATTGGGGGCTGTGTCGATGAAGAAGACAGTGGCACATACTTCGAATGTCCCCGCCGACTCGGGGCCCCGGTAGCCGGATATGAAGTCGCTGGCGCTCATGGAGAAGCGGTCATCCGTCGCGGCGAGGAGAGACGCTGGGTGGACGTCTGGGATGAGGACGGGCCGTAGTTGGTTGGTAACAGACTTGTGGTTGGAGAAGGTGTTGATAAAGGGGTGGAGAACGAACTCATTGGCTTTACTGGAGCTGGAGGGTGTTAGTGATGTGTAAGTGTATGTAGGAGAAGAACTAACTGGTTGAGGATAAAGTTGGAGGCCATAAGCTGATGGTAGGAGAATTCATTGCCCTGAGCACTAAAACCTGATTTGACGTAAGTTGAGGTCAAAAACAAGACGGAAAATCATTTCCTTACCTGCTATTGCAATATCAAATGCCAGCCTGCCCAGCCCAGCCCCGGGAACCAAGACCCTGATACCTGCTCTATCCAAAGACCATCAGAACTAATTACCAGCAGATCTTCCTTTCCTGAAGAAAATAAAAGGCTTACTTTTCCCCACTTCCCAATGCCCCATATCTCTCTTCCAGCTCTTTCATAACTGGGCCATAACATACATTCCTTTCAACTGCTCCTTCCGCGCTCCAGTCTCGGTAGAATTGCTTGATAGTGCTCCTAACCTTATCCAGGTCTTCGGGCGTCACCATTTTCTCTAGTGCCTTCCTGCCCTCCTTGTCCGATGGGATATCAATACCAAACGATTCACCAGCTGTACGAAATATCGCTTCAGAGAGGAGTGCATTGTGCTCGATCGCATCGTCTACCATATCCAATTTCTTGAGATACGAGATGGGGAGCTTTTGGAGAAGATCTTGGTGTGCACGTGGGAGGTTATAGAAGGCATTTCGCCGGCGGTGTGTTAAATTACGATGGGCAGCGCGGCGGTAGAGACTGATAGCGGCGTTAGCTAAGAATAGGTCTTTAGAGATGAGGACCCACTTACAGATACGAGTATAGAGAAGAAACCGCAGCCTGGTGCTCTTCAGGATCCTCGTATGGGTTTATTCCATGGTCGAGTTCGTGTTGATGGCCGACATCTAGTTCCATCTGAGACATCGTGAATTGATTACTATGGTATCACCAGCCAATAGATCGTTTCAAGAATCTATTATCCCTGGGTGGCGCGATGTGACGGACGAGATGTGGATGGAGCGTTAGTGGTACCTTTACGGGGGATTGGACGACGTGACGTGGGGTAGTTAGTGGGGCTGGCCTTGGCAGCTTCCGATTGATCTCCTGTGACGCTTGGCGAGGATATGGCAGCTTGTTTTCCCATCATGCGCTTTAACTTCACTGTGATACGTTGTACTGAGGCAACGGTAATATGATTTTGGAATATTCACTTGTTCACGATAGGTGTGTAAGATCTGCCAGTGACGATCCTTCGGTTACCCACCCTCGTGATCGACGTTCATCATAATGGAGGAGATATGCCGCTCTTTTCTATCTATAAAATTCCCACGACATCTTGCTCTGTCGTGATAATCAGTCTTTTTCACCCCCACTCTCTCCATCACACAGAGAACCACTCGTTTCACCGATCACAGTTCTGCAGGCAGATACATATCACTCAGCCATTATACCTCCCTCCATCGCTCCTCGAAGCAGTAAAATTAGTTTTCAACAATTCGCCTTCTCCGTGAGCTCATGACCGGAGGAGGAGGAGGAGGAGTATGATCGACAGAAACTGGGAAATTATGTTGGGGGAAATATTTGGGAGGTGATAAGCAGGTTGTGAATGGCCAGCGGTAACCGAAGTTTGTGGGTGGTGGCCTACTAGAGTACTAGCAAGCCCTAATATCCAGGTGCTTATTGATTGATGGCGCTTGTTTCATTTGATGGGCAGTGTGCGAATTGTGTGAGGAGGTACAGAGACGAGAAGTATGTATTATTATGTCCCCACCTAGCCAGCGAAGCATTGCGTTAGCATCAAATTTATGTTCCAAGGAAAAAAACTGATCCAATGATCGTTCAATGCAGACACAGTACGGTCTTATTTTGTACAACTATTGACCTCACTTGGAATTTTAATAAATGCTCGAATTCCAAACACAGCAGAGTACTGCACACACACGGAGTTTCCCGGCCAACAGCTCCTCAATTGTACAGTGTAGATCTATCTAGAGTACTAGTACAATCTCAACCTCCGTATGTACGTCTACCGAGAAAAAGCAAGCCCGGGAAATCTTAGTTCAAACGATCCAGCACATACTTATCCAGTAGATAAATACTCAACTCATAGCATTACCTACCAAAAGCACTCCGCCGCCCGCCGCCGGCCCTGTCCGGATCCGACAGCACCGACAATGCCCTCCTGCGCAGACGTCGAAGAAAAGAAAAGCACAAAGCCCCAGCGAATCCAGCTCAGGATCCGACAGCACCGACAATGCCCTCCTGCGCAGACGCCGAAGAAAAGAAAAGCACAAAGCTCCAGCGAATCCAGCTCAGGTTGTGTCAGGAGGCTACTTACCTACATACTCATTGACTCCTCGCCTCATGATAAGGAAAGAAAGAAGCAAGGTCCCGCGGACGATTGGCAAAATCTAAACCGGCAAAAAGAGTTGGAAAAAAATTGACAACGCCACCCACTAACTGTAGAAGTTTTTTTTTTTCTCTCTCTCTCACGATAATATCATCAGAGGCGGCAAAAAAGGACTCGTAGCACGTATTGAACTACTGCAGAGGAGCTGAAGCGTAAGAAAGCAATATTATTGGAAGCAGTGGGCCCGGAGGTGGTGGGTCGGACCTGTGAGCCGTCACTTGAAATGATTTTTCTAAATTTCCTTTCACGATGGTCGTACACGCGCGCCCTTCTGTGTCTGGATGTTTGTGCGTTGCCCCGGAATCAACCATCAGAAAATTAATAAGCTGTATGGTTTGTAGCAAACACCATGAAGAAAAGAAGCAAGTTTGACTCCTCTCCGTATCGAGGATCAAGGACTAGGATCACAACGATCGGTCTCAAGATTTCGTTTTATGATAATATTTCCAAGAGGAAACCAATCACGCCCCTCGTCGAGAAAAAGAGAATGTGAAACGTTCCAAAGTACCCTCTCTACATATGTACCTAAACATCTCGAGGAACTGCATTTTGCGGGGTTGGCGGTAAAAGCAATGGCAAAAACAAATTAACGGTACGCATCCCACTGTTTTCGACTGAATCTCCCCCAGAAAATGGATACCGAAAAACTGAAATGGTGGTGGTGTGGTGTGCAATGTGGGTGGTGTATGCACACTTAACCGTCAAGGGTGGTAGCACACGACAGGGTCCAGCTGCCAGCAACTCTTCCCGCTTTTAAGTGGACGGCAACGCAGTACTGACAGATTTCATACAGTAGACTCGTGTACCCTACCACCATTAGTGAAATGCTTGACTCCTCAAGTTTTCGGACCACAGCACGATCCATTTGCCGGTGAAAAGACCGAAAATAGAGGGGAAAATAGTCAACTTTTGAAATAATATGGTATTCAAAGTTAGGGTGATAATAAATCAAATCCCTTTCTTCCAATGCAGCGCTCCTAGATAATGAACAGAAAATAGTACAAATACAATCCGAGGAAATTCGTGATGGGGCCAGTAACCAAAAAAAGAACACCAAAGACAGAAATCCGAAATGAGAGGTACCCCAAAAGAAACTCCAGCTCCCAGAGCAAAGTCACCCAACTGCACCCCTTTCCTCCCAAATCCGTACGATTCAAAATCGCCCTTGCTCATCTCCTCTACCTCCACAGCGACCAATTATTATTTTTGAGTTACTTATAGCTCTGGTGACAGGGTCTCGTCAACCCACTCGTCTCCGCTGCTGCTGCTATTGCTGTTTGAACGTGCAAGCACTACAGTCTCGACGGGGTGACTATAATGCTCAATTAGTATAATGGTCGTGTGGGCAAAAAGGGTCCTCAATTAGAAGTGACCTACAGAGCTAGTCCGCCGTTTTTGCACTTCTTGGTACCGCAGGTCCGTGATGAAAGCACGTCAACTGACTGAGAGCTCGCCATGCACTCTGACATATCGTCGTTGACCCATCCGCAAACAGAGGTGTTCTCCTCGACCTGACATCCACAGGTGAATACGGTGTTCTTGAAGTTGCACATTTTGATTTTTTTTAAAAGGTTTGGAAGGCGAATTGGTAGATGTAGGTTATTTAATGGTAGTTGAGTAGTAGTTAGTGATTATGGGATTGATTGAGGGACTGACTTTTTGGAATGGAGAGCTTTTCGACAATGGGGGAGGGGAAGGAAGAACTTTATAGCCAAATCACTACACCTCCTCGAGGCGAGGCTGCAGAAGGTGCATGAGTGAGGGCACCCATTAAACATTTAATTTCCTGAGAGGCTAGCTACATAGCTGGACCGCCTCGCCTTGGTGGTGCCTGTGGGTTGCGAACATCCTATGAGTTCCAGAAAAAATCGAATCAGCAATATCCGTGTGGTGTTTCCAACCCACGGCCGAACTAAAATGACAGAAACAGAAAGAGATATCCATAAATTTCCCAATTTGGGGTTGTTCAACCGTCGAGACCCGCCGCACGGTACTGTACGATGTCGTCAATGCGCCGCCCAATCCGAGACACGATCAACCTTGAAGGGTCTCTTGGAGAATGCTGCTCACTCTCTCACTTCCTCACTCTCGCCTCTCCTGAGGCTCTGGCGATCTTTCTGCTTTCTTTACCCTCCATTTCATATGGCGCTGGACAGGATTTCTTTATCCCCCACTCTTTTTTTGCCAACTCTCGCTACCATATTCGTTACACACACTTTCTGTCCGTACCCTCCGGCCCACTGTAGATGATCTTCAGGGTCTTGTGGAGGTGGGCTCCCTTCCAACAATCACGGAAAATGTTCCTAGAAACATGTACAATTCGGAAGCCTCCCGTCCGAGACATTTTACTAGAGAGCCCATGAGACAATAAAAACTCCCATAATATGTATGGGGAGGAGGGGGAGGGGGAATGAATGACGTCCTTTGTATCTCCTACTGGTTCCTAAGTCTTGCAAAAAGAACTTCTCCCCCGATTCCAACACCCGCCCCTCCACAGTATAAAACTAAGGTTCAGATCTCAACCGATTGTAACTAGGTACAGAGTTACCTAGGGTGGTACTCTAGATGATTCAGACTGGGTTTGAGGAGCATGTGCAGTTTGAATAGGCGTGGTTCTAGTAGATCAATCAGGACTAATAGTAGATCTTTAACGTTCCTAACAGCCAAGAGACTGTAGATCATGTAGCGACAGCGCTGCTAGGTAATAAGCAAAATGGCCTAAGGCATCGTGAGTACATAAATTCCAAGTATTTTTCCCGCTCTGTGTTCAACGATGAAGTCAACGATTCCAACTCCTCGGATTTCTCTCAGTAAATTCCCCATGCGTGCTACGGTGCCACTGTGAGTACCTACTTTGCCATTGTGGCAATTGATTCGGAGCGCCCATTGCCCCCCGCTAACTACATACTCTGTCTAGCTAACGATTGATTTCTAAGTAAGGCCCCAAAATCCTGTTCACCGGGTGAGAAGATGAGCCAGCTAGCTGCTGGCGAGACGAGACGAGGGAATTTCTTTCTTTCCCTTCTTTTCCTTACCGACAATCGTTCCACCTTTGTCGTTAGTCTAGTAGTAACCAGACATCTCACCACCACCACCTTCTTGGAGCATGTGCTTTAGGCCTATTTTTCCCTTACATTACCCCTAACTGTAAATCATGGCCGACTTGCGGAAGGACGATCTGGCAGCGAGCCATGCCATGCGGACAACAACGAAGTTCATCCAAAGAGCCACTTGATGGAGTATGCACAAGGACAAAGCTGGTACCGGTACCGCCTGTATACATACATACATACATACATCTACACACCCACTCTAGGCGGCGGCCGCCGGCTGTTTACAAAGTACGCAGAGTACTCTCCAGGAGCGGAAATACCAGGTATCTACGAACCCCAGCAGCGCTTCAATCGCGATAGAACCGCGGTGAAGAAATCGCGGCATCCACTATTTTTACGTTTCTAGAAGGAAGACCAGTCCATCCGAAGCGAAAGACATGGGGTTGCGTTTTTTTCCCTTCCCCGCACTTTCCGAGAAATTAACCCGGCGGTATTATAATGAGGGGAAACGAACCCGATGTTTGGAGTCTGGAGCGAGCGGGCGAGCGAGCGCTTCGGGTATGGCGCATCGAGTCACGCAAAACTGGAGAAAGATGCGAAGATCCCCCGCCTGAACCTGGTTAACCAGGAACAGACGTATTTCGGATCTCCTCGATGACTTGGGATCAACAAATTGAGTGAATAAAGTATTTTTTATTTTTTATTTTTTCGAAATCTATTCTAGGTTTTTTTTATCCCAACTTCGGGAGATGTCAACTGAACTAAGTAGGCCGCTTCAGCACGAATCGTTTCTACCTTGAACTAGTGGCTGGCTCCCGGATCGACCTCATGGGGGACAGAAAGTATGCCATTCTAAGGAATGATGAGAGGATTATCACCCCCAGGAATGTGATAAGCCCTGGAAGCATTGCGGTATTAATCGCGTGACAATCTTATTAAAACCTTTCTTCTGTTAGTCAAAGAACTAATCATGAAGTTGGCCAAAAGAAGGTAAAGAGATAAATAGTGAAGGAAGGGTTGATATTCAGAGAAAACTGTGTAAATGTCCACATAATTGTTCAGAACAGGTCTGTGAAAATTGTTTTTTAATCATAATAAGGTGATACGGAGCATAGAACGAAATAAATAAATAAAATTACCTGCACGAGAAGCCTGGGACTCCAGCAGCCAGGCCTCTGCCTTTTCTTGAGTCCGCCTACTTGATCATGTAGCCGACAATGGCATTTTGCGTAAGCCGACCACGAAGCCCAAGCAGGGCACGCACCTGGTCGGATACACAAAATGCCATTGTCGCAAGCAATTTATTCCTAAAAAAATTCCTTTACGACTCGTTAGTCGATGGCTCTCCAAGGATCAATTCAAGCAGAGCGAGTAATCAAAAATAGGGATGTGTTGGAAAGTTATTCAGAAGGTCTCCAAGAAATTGTATTTTGTCCACATAATTGTTCAGAACAGGTCTGTGTTTAATTTCTTTCATCATAATAAAAAACAAATTTGCAGGGCAAGTGGAACGTGAAAAAATGAAGTAGGTTTATGGTTTGCTTACAGTATCAATCCATGCTGCTCTCTCCGTTGTTAGATCGCGACATCACCGATGATGTTCGTGGGATACATGTTGGTGGTTGAAACCTGGGGGAGAAGCCCGTTGGCGGCGGAATCAGATCAATGGCTACATCAATCGATCGATGGCAGTGAGTCCTCGATCTTGGGTGTTGGGTGCTGGGGAATGGAGAGATGATATGCATGGTGGTTGGTTAAAGTGATGGGTTGGGTTGGGGAAAAATAAGAAAAAGTTTCTCTGGGACTGTGGAACTGTTGCAGGGGGTGACGGACGGTCAGGGTAGCGGGTTAAGGGCTTTAACCCTAGATTGTCTGGAAACCTAACCCTAGTCTCCTGAGTGAGTGAGTGATTCTGTATGACACGTCAAGGATAATTTATTCATTTATTGCTTACTAGAGGTTTTCCCGTTTGTTACCAACCGGAATCATTTCATGATGCCCAATCTCAATTTATACTATCGATTCAAACCAGGTTGGTGAATGAAATAACGCCTTACGTTTCTCTTTTCCCTGCTACTCTGGCCTGGAACCCTTTTGCCTTTGGAAGTACTTTCCCGGGCGGAGTAAACAGAACAATCATTTTATCGAAGGGCTGTTCCGGCATATTATATTCCAGTACACCCTTATATTCGTTCTATGTAGGGAGCCTGGGTGCAGGGCCAATCATCACCCGCCATTTGCGAAATTTCTTTTCGTCCTGACCTTTTATATATCAGGAGATAGATGACACGGTGACAAGGAGAACAATAGTAGACACATCGCGTATCCGCCATGTATCAATGTTGTCTGTTCAAAATGCTATCTGTCCAAACTATGACAGCTCTGGATTTGTTCTGCATCTTCGAATTCATCTCCACAAAACAGTAACAACAACAACCAGCCTGATGGCTGCATTCGAGAAAAGACTGAGGCTTCAGCTTCTATTTCTCCAATATCTTGAAAGCTCCCGGAGGATACTGTCAGTTAAAGTTCACTCCATGGATATCCTTTTCTCGAATAAAATAAAACGAAGGCTATGTAAGCTAATGGCGGGCGTCCGCCATGTGGATATAAATTAAGTACAATACAGCAATCGCTACATACAATTGAAATCTATAAATTTAAAGAAAAGCCGAAGGAAAAGCCAAAGGAAAAACCAAAGGAAAAGTCTAAAGCTTGCTAAGTAAATCCACCACCCCCTTCCCCTCATCCTTTTTGAGTCTAATCAAGCCCTCTTGATAACACGACGCCAGCAACAGCCCATCCCGATTCCATATCCTCTGCGTCACCAACGCCCTCTCCTCCCCCGCCCACGACGATTCCAACTCCATAAACACCCACTCATCCGCCTTGATCTCTGCTGCATGATGAAAATATATCGTATGGTCAAGGCTCACCATCATGCCAATATCATCCATCCTCAGCGGATTCACCTTCGCGGCTGTCACCAAGAAGAACGCATCCGAATAATAGGCCAGAGCCGGCAGATGCGCCTCCTCATCCTTAATCGCACCCTTAATTCTCACCCACTGCCTCAAACGCTTCTCCGTCGGCTTTGCATCCCGAGTCTGCTCCGCGATCCCCAGCTGCCGGTACTCAACCGGGTCCTTCTCCCTCCGGCGGCGATATTTCTCGAGCCCCGCCTCATCAATGCTACCCTTCTTGTACCAGTTCAGCAGCTGCGCCTCGTCTGTGACGCACTCCTCTGGTAGCGGAATCCCCGCCGGCAGCGGCATCGAGTGCTCAATCTTCGACTGTTCCTTCGCCGGCGCCCGCATAAACGAGCAGGTGGTAGTGAAGATGCACTGGCCGCGCTGCCGCGCCTGAACCGTCCGTGTGGCGAAAGAGCGGCCGGACCGTACGCGCTCGACGTGGTATACGACAGGAATGGTGGGGTTGCCGGCGAGGATGAAGTAGCAGTGCATGCTGTGGACTTTGAGATCCTTTGGTACTGTGCCTTGGGCTGCTGTGAGGCATTGCGCGATGATCTATAGATGGGCACCTTGTTAGCTATGCTACTACACAGCTAGCTAGCTGTCGGCGGGAAACACTCACGCAGCCGCCATAGATCCCCCGGGCATCGTCGGGCTTCCATAGGGGCCTGCTGTTTGTAAACACGCCGTCGCCCATCTCCTCTAGTGCCGAGAGCTCTAGGTTGTTCTCGAGCAGCGACAGCTCCGGGTTCATTGGCGGGATCGTCTTGAGCGTCGGTCTCGGGGTTGCGGCGGAAGCAGTCATGATTGTATGCGGGTGTAAGTTCAAAATAATTTTTTGTGTGTACTTTACTGATATGAAAGGAAGATTGAACGCAGATATTCGGATCAGGGACAGAGAGAACCGGGTTTTGTTGCAATTAATTGTTCACTCATCGGGAGTCATGCCGGGTCTGGGGTTTGTAGTGGGAATGCTGGGCCGAGGTTCATTGGCGCATCACGTGAGCCGCGGCTTAACGCCGATTTCTTGCTATTGGGACGTGTGAAAGGAGTCATGGTAGTATTCTGTCCTGGTGATGGTAATGAATGACGTTAAATGTTGATATATCCCCTGCCTGGTGTCTTTTGATGCTATTTGAGCATGTGTTTGTACCTATCGCGGATATGCCTAAGCGTAGATAGATCTATATGGAATGTGAGATGCAGATGTTACCGAACAGGGCCTTGGGTATTTATCGGATTGGCTTTGATTGATCTAACCGTCGGATCATTGAGGTGGGGGCAGATGCGAGGGTATCGCAGAATGTGTTTGGCACGTGGAAAGTACTCGAGTGATATCCCATGACGCTGAAGACGATACCGCTCCGACCTTTGATCATGTTGCTGGGGAATGCTGGCCAGCTACTATATGAGTCTAAGTGAATCGTATGTGGAGTTTATAGCAGGCATCCTGCGAAATGCGCACTTGATACCATCACCATATATCACTCGGCTTTTGTCTTCAGAGAGCCAGACAGTGGGAAATCTCGGGGCATATATATACCAGGCCTAGAATTTATCGAGGGAAAATAACCTATGCCGTCACCAAGAATCACAAACATGGAGCTTTAGGTTGCGAATATCTCTTTAGCCGCCCTACGTGGTCTAGCTCTTGTGCGAACCCCCACGTCGAGGTTGGGGGAGCGGTCTCACGTACTGCATCACGTGCTAGCAATTCCCCAAAAATGCTTGTCGATTGGAGCGACTTTCTATAGACTGTGCCGATCGGATCAGTCTCAATTTCTGGGGATCGTTATTCTGATTCCGGCCAAGGAGTGAGGGTCAACTTAATAAGTGGGGGTATTAGAAGTCACTAGAGCCAGAAACCAGACGCCTACCTAGTCTGGTTAAAATACCACGCCGAGACTACACAGTCGTATTCATCATTAAACAAGACCATGATGAGGTGCACGACACTCCACGTAGCGCTTAAAATACCACCACATCGCCGACACCGCCCGACCGTGATGTCTATCTAGAAATGATATCCGCACACGGCCGGCCGGTGCCATCTCCTTATCAAGCCCGGCCGCGGCACTACAATAATCGGTCCGAACCTCCCCAGTTTCAAATACGGTCTGGGTGCTACGGGACTACTGCATGTATCTCAACGGTTGAATGAAATGGCTACTCTAGATTCACAACTGGTCTATTCTACCTACCTGCTAGAGTAGAGGACTCTGGTTAGGCTCGCGAACTCCCCCAACCAGTAAGTAATTACTCTACTCATGTAGTTGGAGTTGTGCTACATACATGATGTAGTTAGTTAGCTACATTGGGTCCCAAAGTAGAGTACTCAAAGGGGCCAATGTCAATGTTCCAAGTTCCAACAAGTGACACCGGACACTAGCATGATCGGCTAAAGTTGTATGCAACTGCGAGATCGACTGGGGGGGTCACACGGTAATCTTATCAGATCGCCGCCCCTCCCACCCATCTTTGAGTGATCGCCCATGATTCAGCGTCCGTCCGTTGGTTGGGGAGTCGAGAGTGGTCGCTGGTGGTGGTGCACTGAGAGACATGGCAGAGCTGTCACAAACACGCGATTGACTTCCTGTCTGTGATGTGGATGTGCTACTACCTCCCTCCCTCCCTCCCCACTCTCCCCCACTGCCCGGCGCAATCTGTTCGCCATGGTAGTACTTTACCATCTGTGTAGCCTGTAACCTGTAACCTGTGTACCCATCACATTGGCAGCTAGCACCAAAAACCCCTTCTACTACCTTCTCCGGCCGTCCTAGCTACATAGCTAGCAGACCAGAGAGCAGATCAGAGAACAGAGTAACTACTCCACTCGGTCCATGTTTCGGCTTCGCTCAAACACACACACACACCTTCGGCGGTGATTCCCGACGTGCATATATCGTCAAGGCTCACTTCACTTCACTTTGCTGTGAGAGGGTAAATAGTTGAGCGCAGAGAGAAGGGGGGGGGGGGGGGGAAGAGAGAGTCGAAAGGGCAGAACACAACATTCTGCATGCAAGGAACCGCGTCATACACGTGCCATAAGGCGGACAAGTAAGAACCAAGGCTTCGTCGCCGTGAGTCAAAACCTTATTTACTTTTGTATGGAATCATACTACAGGCGGATGTCGCCGTAGGGGATGCAAATCAATGAAATGTGATGGTCGATGGGATGTGGTAAGCCTTGCTGTGGTAGGTGGGAGATGGTACGGGGAAGTGGTGGCAAGTGGTGGCAAGTGGGAGGTGGTTCGATGTGCGAGGCGGAGAAAGCTTCCTTAAGGGTGATATATGGAAATTAAAACTTTTGTTTTTTTGGATTTATGCAGTCATGGTTCTGTCTGTATTTCGACCCTATGTTACAATAAATTAAAGATAAAGATAAAAAAGAAAAAGAAATAAAAGAAATTAGTACGCCAATTACCAGAAATAAAATAAATAGAATAAAAAAAAAACACAACAGAGCAGAAGTCTATCGTAACCTCAATGCCCCCCCGCGCGCTAAGCCATACCAATTGCAATTCCCAGCCCAAAAACCAAAACCAAAGTCCAAATCCCAAAACAAATCCCCAAATAAAAACCAGAAAAAGCCCAAAAACTAAACAGCCAAAATCCCATCTACAATTCCGACCCCGACCTCGACCATTTACTTGAAATCGACGTGACTTGTGACCCTGAGCTCTCCTTATCCATATATGCCGCGCTATGCCTCTTCCTATAAAACACCCTCAAACACGGCAGACAGAAAGCCGTAAAGGCAAACAGCTTCTCAACGAGCGCCCACACGATTGTCTGGCGAATGGCGAGCAGCGAGCTGTCCGAGTGTACCACGACATTGTAAACCTGCGTGAAGCGCACCACTGAGGCTATGATCGAGACGATGCCGACGCCAAAGACGAAGGCGAGGGCGTACAGGTCTTTGCGCGTGAGGCCGTAGCTTGACCGGAAGGAGCCGATTGTGAGGAGGGGGATGAGCAAGACTGGCGTTTGTTAGTGTCAATGTTGATAGATACAGGATTTTGCAGTTCTGCAGATGGATGGGACCTACTCAAGATGTCGCTGGAGATGTTTGTACCCTGCTGCGCAACCATCCCCGGAACTGTCTGTACTGAGATGCACTGATCCGACCCCGTCGACCTGCGTTTTTACTTTCTGTTAGCTCTCCATCTTTTTTATAAATGCGTACTGAAGATGCTTGATCAGATCTCCAAACATACCAATTTCGTGACATAGGCCTGCAGTAGCCCAATTGTAACGATATGACGCCCATATATGTCACAGCAGCATACACCGAAACCACATAGAGCAGTAACCGCACCTTCCCGCTCAAAGTTTCCCTTAGACTCCAATAATACCCCAAAAATGCTGCCTTGAGCAGCCACACCTGCGTCGTGCAGAACAGCGAAATCACGAAAAACTCCTATACATCACAATTAGAATAAGCAACCAAGATCACACAAGCTCCCCACAGCATTCTCATTTGAAACAAGAAAAACCTCCAAAGTCAATGTTACCAACCTTGAGATACTTCGGCGTCAACAGCCTCTTCTCGATTCCCTCCACGCCATATGCCCTCTGAATCTTCAACTCCTTGTCCACACCGTCGTAGGCCATTCCGGCCGCCCCCATCATGAGCACAGAGAACAACAGGAACGCACAGTCACTTAAATTGACTGCAAACGTCCTGGGCCGGTGTCGAAGAATCCATAGCCTGCCCACAGTACCCACCAGCACAACCACCACCAGGAGCGTCACAAGTGCAATGAAGTCCTCAACCCGATTCCCCATCTTATTTTTGTTATTATTGTCGCTGTTGTATGTTGAGTTTTTTTATCTGGGTAGTAATGTTATTGTTGTTTTTGGTTTTGTTTTCGTCGGCACTAGAGAAGTAAAAGGGTGGAAGCACATCCCGACCCCCGAGAGAAATCAAGTCAGAGTTGGATAAATGAGATGGATGGCTCTCCGGGAAATATAAGATTTTTATAAGCTTTCTTCTCATACATCGGCCCCAGCTAACGCTAACGCTAACCAACCAATCCAACCACCTACATGTAACCAAGTTAAACCAACCAACCAACCCGTTTTGGAGTGGGTGGTGGGCTGTCCTCTTTTAACGCTTACTCGAGGTGGAGCAGCAACAACTCGCGACCCAGATTCTTGGGATAAGGGACGGCTAAAAAACTGGATATGATATGATATTTGTATTGGTATTCGGGGAGGGGCGAGCGGTGGTAGCACGAAGAGAGCACGGTCCAATCATGCACGTTGACAAGCGTGTCGAAAGCAGTTCAGAAAGCGGAATCTTATGCGAATCGATCGCTCACTGGACGGGGGAGTCCTGCGTGCTGGATCAATCAGCTGCGTACGGGGCAATAAACCACACATAAAACCACGATATAGAGCAGAAGAGCACATTTTGGCAGCTTAGGTCCAAACAGGTTCCTGAACCGTACCTCGGGTTATCCCCCACAACAGAGAATAGCTACTCCAGATAGGGAGAAATGCGTGTTTTTCGCTGGAGTGCCCAGAGTAGAGTAAAGTTGTGTAGCACCACAGCTACTCTACTCTAGCTAATCCAGACTACATACTAGAGTAGAGTATATGTATGCATAAATCCCGAGTTATAGGTAGCTGGGTACTCTACCCAAAGAGTTGATCAACCTCCAAATTCGCCTGGTGCTGCTGCTGCGGCTTTCATCCCAGTAGGTGCATATGCGCATATCCATTCTTCTCTTCACGGATCGATAGAGTACAAGCCTGGCAGTGCTAGGTATGTACCGGGGGTTGAGGGTAAGTACTGAGAACCCCTTTTTGGGGAATTTTAAAAAGTGAGGGTTTCTAAAGGAATCTGATTGGGCTGATAAAATTAAAATGACACTTGGCAGCCAAGCAGGTATTTGGACAGTCTGCCCCACAGCTTTTGCAACGCAACTTCCTCAATTCCTGTTCTTTTCGAACTTCACCAAAACTTCTTTGATAACTTCGAATCAGTACTCAGATGAACCTGTGAGCAAGGGCTATTCAGTGGTTATTTTTTTGTATTTTTAGGAAAATATTTGAATTTTTAAGTGAAGATAGATAAAACATCTCGGTATTTTTTTCCACCATATAAATTTTGAGGCCAAGGCCAAAATTCATTGGCTGCTTTTGGTTACCATGGGCGGTTCCCATACAAAATCAACCAATCCTTCAAGGCGTCTCGGTATTTAACGTGCACACCCGGTAGTTACATGTTAATTTCTTCTTTGCGATCCCCCGCAAGTCACAGGATGATTAATTCGGAGAGAACGGGAAAGGTGAAAAGCGATCAGCAGTATCGGTTTTTAACTTCGGTAGTTGGGCACGTTGACATTGTTGAAGGAATTCTATTGTTAGTCTAGCTAGCTGCCGAGAGTTGTTGCCTTCGCGGTCGGAAAAAGGTGATGTCAGTTGACTAAGCTAGCTGTTATTGATGCTTAGCTGAGCCAATTCAAGGTTTTGGATATCTAACCTCACCCCGGAATCCGCACCCCACCTGTCAAAAGGTGCGACTTCTTTCAGCTCGCGACGGAAAAAATCGAAATCGGGATTAAATTTCTTATATCCGATTTTACTTTGCTTACTATTTATTTTCGCGCGCCCTGGGCTGCTGCGCTTGTTTTACTATCACAAGCAGATACTCTACGTACGTGATGGAGGGCCCGGGATTATTGAGAAATTGGGGGAATCAAGATGAAACCTGGACCTGGTGACGTTCATCGTTCAAAAGACTGCACCGTTGGGAATTAAATTACTAACCTATTATAATACCTCTCCCCCCCTCTAATTCGCGATCCTTAAACCGTGGATTCGGACTCTTCTGTTGGTGAATGCGCAATCTCCGCCGTCGCGTGAAGGTGCGACCTCAAGACCTCGCTCTCCCAGAATAAACCCTGTCTGCAGATCACAGCTCGCCAAATAGAGTTATATTATGCACTGTGTCACGAAAGTACCTGCCTTGTGCGACAGAGAGAGCATTGGCTGACTAACGCAACAAACCAGCAGCAGAGGATCATTGTCGATAACTCATATTAAAACACCCCGCATATGGCCCGGGACCATGGCAATGAACGATTTATTAAATAAACCCGCCCTGGGCGCGGGGAAAAATTCGGGCGCGCCCCAAAAATAGCTGCAGCGCAGGGCTCTGCCGCAGCAGCGATCCGCGATCATGTTTGATCACTCGGATTAACAGAGCCTTATATCTCGAGCCAAGCCGGGTGTAAGCTAGACCTAGATGATTCTATGATTCCGTCGATGGGGTGATTTTCTGACCATGCAATTATATCAGTAGCCTTTACTATGACCCGTCGAGTATTTGCCACAAGCGGAAGAGCTTCTGAATGGTCAGAATTACTGTGAGTCAGCCTCGTTTCACGTCATAAAGGTAGGGATAGTTCTCATATCCTTTACTATAGTAACGTTTACATCGCACCATGCATCTTGACTCACTACCCCGTCGTACGCCACCCGAACTACATGTAACTGTCGCTCCTCTCCAGGAGCTTAAGGGCTGTCGCTATTAAGAAGAGATTTCTTCTCTCCATGTCCCTTAGCAAGAAAGCTGCAATGTAACGGCCACCATATTATATATATCGCTACAGGATTATAAACAGCAATCTTTTTATGTACGTCCCAGGCGTTTATCGGGAGTGATATCTAGAGAAATAGAGAGCCGATGAACATGATAAAAGTTGCGTAGTTTGTTGTGTGTTAAACAAGGGAGAGGGACGGGGGGGAAGGTCCCCTTTTGTAGGTACATGTACTTACAGTTTAGAGAACAGCTTGCGCTAAAGACAAAAGTACAGATGGTTTAACTGGAACCACATGTACTTGGTACATAATGAAACGTTGACGATAATGTAATTGTCCCGGCAGCAAACACGGAGCTCCGCCATTCGACAGCCCTAGAGTCTCTACAGGTGCCAGATCACGAAACGAGTAGAGCAACTAAGCGGTTCATTACATGACATGCAGGTTCATGCAGTCTTGCCGGCCCGGGCCGCGTCGGCGACCAGGGGATAGAGTACTCGTTTATCACGAAAAGAACTAGAAAATACAGTTGTTCTGGGCAAGGATGATTTGTATGGAGTGGCAGTGATCTCTCATACAAGTTATCCCTGTCTCCGTCACTTGCACTCTCTGGTTCTTTTCGTGGTAAACGGGTACATAGTGGTGCCATAGTTGCATACCTGTATTGTAGAATATTCCAGGCGGGATCAAAAATCTCCTAACGTGCTTATGCGCCCTTTCCCGTGTTGAAATGGGGGCTGAGTCTGTGGACGTGAGGCCTTGGTCATTCACGGCCTCGGGGTTCTTCACTTGCTATTTTGGCATATTATTCCTCATGATATTATTCCTGTTTTGAAGATTATTTAAAGAACAAAATTCGCGAGAACCAGGGAGATAGATCTCGAGATCGACTTGTTTTCTGGAAAACAGGAAATCGATGATGAGGAACAGGAATTTTTAGAGCAGAGGGGCCCTGAGGTGGTGACTTGGAAGACGGGATTTGCGACTTATTTTTTTCTAGAAAGCTCAGGTTTGGGCTGCAGATAGATCATTTGGGTGATTACTTATAAAACAGTAATTTTCCGCCTTAGGCGCAAATGCTGGCTGCAATCATAGGAAATCACTCGCGCAATCGCAACCGCGAGCTGCACCGACAACTAGCCCATACAATGTCATGTAGGTAGTACAAGCCTTAAACTTACGCGCGACCTCTCGATAACGTTTTCTCCTAACAGCGTCCTAAACTGAGCCAGAACAGGTCGAACCCTTGATGAAATGATTAGTCAGTACTGCTTACGTTCCTGCCTAAAATTGATGGATACTTGCGGGTACATAGCTCGCTGTTGAGACCACGAAATAAAATCCCTAGTACATATGAAGCATAGGGCTGAATATGAAACGGCATTCGATGATAAATATTCTCCCTCCCCATCCCTTGAATCTTTATTGCTTCCTATGGGCCCAATGATGGAAGTAAACTCAAGCACCTGAGACAGGAGCTAGGAATGTCACTAGTGTGCTTACGTAGAATCTGATACAGGTAAAGAAGACAATCATATATGTCAACAAAAAGATGACTCTGCCCAAATTCACAAATTAAACTGATTATGGATATTTTTAGCCCATATTCTCAGGATGTTTGGGAAATAGAGTTCCAACGGGCTAGGTTTACGCTTATCCCATCGACTGTAAAAACCGTTTGTGGTTCAACCGTGTACCGAATTATTTATCATGTTTCCGCAACTGGCAACCACACATGAAAAAAAAAATATCATTATGAGATATAACTATATCAAACTCACCCTGTATTATTTGGATTCTATCTTTGTTTTTAAGATTTCGTTCTCCTCGTTGCGTTGCCAAAGATTTGGTGCCCGGTTGGCCCGAATGCGCTTACAGTCGATGGGATAACCCAGCCGAAAACTGTATTTTTCGAGTTGCTGACACTCAGAAGGAATAAACCCCAAGGCCAAACACAGTATATTGGTAAACCGTTCTTCAAATATGTCTCAAAGACTTTGGGGGCTTTGTTCTTGAGAGCCAGTGCGCGCAAAGTCCGACTTGCGGAGTAGTCATATATAACACAAAAAGGTTATAATTAGCTATAACCGGCGAGAAGAGGTGGCAAATTTGATGAGCCAACATAGGCATTTCCGCAGGTCATAACTAAACGATTTGCCAGGTGTGCAACACCTTTGATATTGAGCTGTTCTATACCAATAATTCATGGGAAAACAGCGCTCACCATTTTACCACTACTGAGAGCTACAAGTAACGTAGGATCATCTGAGGAATAGATGATATGATACAAAAGTACAGGCCACCCACAACGTAGAAGAGATATTCGAATATATGATTTCTTGGCAGCGATTGGGCCAGATGATCTGCAAATTTATATGTCAGATCAAGTAGCATTTGAAGTGATAGTGCTCGGAAAATTACCTTACGATGGTTTTGGACCTCTCCTGAAATAATTATGCGTATATCAGGGACCTAAAGAAAATGTGATATTGTGTTACGGACATAGAGGAGATAACCTCATGAAAGGAATATCGAACTGACCACCGCAAGCAAAGGCAGCATAAATGAGTCCATACAGACAACCCCCCCAATATCTTCCAAATGCTCCGGCATCTGATCAACTAGATATCTTCATTGGATCTGGGTTTCCAGTGTCTGAGCCCATATCTTACATCTTTAGGATTTGTGATGAAAGTCTGGATAATCAATCCCAGGATTAAGAAGACCTTGAAACATACTAACATAAATCCTGATTCCTCGTAGTATCGAACAGCGAAGATATTGGCTAAGACCGAAAGATCAGGGCCTATAGAAATTCAGATTCCAGGGTTTAAATTTGGCCAGATCGAAATGACACCTACTGCGACCTGGGGGGGTTTTCCATATAGCTAGGAATTTGTAAAATCTTTTATTTTGGCCGAGAAAGGTAATAGATATTTTGATAGTGCTATATATACTACCATTGTTAGCCTAATTTTTTTCCCGACACAAACAACATAAACACCATATTTGCCCGAAACAAATAGGCTGAGGAAACCCCCAAAGCTTTATAATTTATCGATCCAGTTCTCGTCGAAATAAAATACGGACCCCTTCACTGGAAGACAGGAGCACATTTCCGCGCAACGATATGCTGAGAAATACCAGTCTTAGTAACGCGAGAAACTCAAACTAGACGCTCTTATTACCAGGCCCATCTGCATGACTGACCAAGGCACAAGTACAGAATACGAGGCGAATCTAAAAAGTTTCTCAGTAAATGGCACTAAACGATCATGTGCGCATCCCGGAAACGTACGCAAGAAACACCGATAAAGGGCCAGTCTTCCCTAGAGTTTTGTTTAATATAATAAGATACTGCTATGCATATGAATCTCTTACAGATGATTGTGTAGGAATAAAAGATACTTACGACCTAATTCCGACGAAAAGTCCAGTGCCAATTGAGCCGCCAACGGTAATTAACTGGAGGGGGGTAAAACCTTTAATTAGAATAAATTTTCGGCATATCTGGTGAAGAATTTGGTTACAAACCTGAACCGGTTTTTGTCTGTAGGTCTTGTCAAACCTCTTAAAATCTGCAGCGGCAACTTCTGTGTACTGAGTATTTGGGGGGTGATACTATCTCCCCATTCTCAGAGTCGACACTCGTACTTTTTGCAGTGTCGATTATTGCTGGTCTACCGGCCATAGGTAACGGTGCTGCTTCTTGTATAGGCATGATAAATTATAAGAAATAAAGCTTGTTCGCCTTGGGTAATTGGATTTTTATCAAGTAAGGATCCCGGGTGTGATCGCGAAAGGTTATCCTAGAGAACCCTTCAATAAAACCAAAGTCATCTGGACTGATATTGTCATATCGACCGATCTTCCGTGTGATCTGGTTCATTCAATCTAGTTTGGCCCTTCAATTGATCTAATCCTGTAATACTATCGGGTTTGGTCGATGCACATATTCCTATATCTCTGTCGGCCGCCTGCCAATAAGTTATCTTGTAGATCTATAGATGGATTTTGTGTAAGATTGAAATCTGGGTCACTGCCTCGGATAAACTGATTAATGGCCAATTGTGCTGATCCCTGCTGGCGACGTCTAATGAGCTCGAGGTTCGTTAATTTTGCCCATAAAAATAAAAACAAGGGGCGCGATCAAATCAAGCTGTTTACTCAAAGACTCCACCTATGCGAGGTCTATGTGATGCTGGTGTGCCGTGCCTAGAAAACAACGATGTATGCTCACTAGGTCAAGAGCACATACTAAAGAATCCGAGGAATACTTCTGCGATCTCTAAATGTGTAGTCTTTGTTATTATAACGGGTAGGATGCACATTAGATACACATATGTACATTCACTTATAAATATTACCATTTTGTGCAATACCAACCATTGATTTGCGTCATGTACTCCCGTGGTTAAGTGTATAAGCTACATGTTGCCCTAACGTATGTACGTAAAGAGCCATATCCAAAGACAGTGTGCGGCGGCCGATAACCACTACATGTAACCAATTCAATGATTTTGATACCAATAGTACCATGGACCGTTTTGGATGGGCTTGACTTTCACCACTCCACTCCACGTGGAGGCCTGGCCACTACTGTAGTCGGGACAATCGGCGGGACAGGCAGGGATAACGGGTCTGTGCGCCCATGCGACGCGTAAGCTTGGCGGGGCATCCGTTGCTTCACTCCTCTTCCTTTCTTCTTCCTTCCTTCCTTCAAAATTGAACTTTGAGGCCCATCAAGTTATTTGCTCTTATAATCCCAATTACTTTCCTTACAAATACATTTCAAGTCAAAGTCTGTCGATGATAATTTTACAATTCTTTTCGGATTTGATTGATATATTTAAAGGTTGTCGTTCAAAGAGAAATCAGAAGCGCCAATATAGGAATTGCACTTTTTCTAATTGGAAACATTTATAACTGTCAGGTACGTATGCACTTTCAAAATTCGGACTAAATTGGTTGATAAGATGCCCAGAGAAAGCTGTATAAATGATTCGAACTTTATCATTCGATGATAATGTATATGCGTACTGGAGTAAATTGTCGTCTTAAAACCTGATAATTTGGATTTGGTCGATAAACTTAATGCGGAGAGAAGACCACCAAAAATCCCCACGGCTGGAGCACTATACCGCAGATATCGAACTGCTGTTGGCCATGATTTCCCGTATCCAGAAATGGCGATCGATCCCAGGATTGATGTCTGGCTAGTCAATTACATTTCGTCATTTATTGTCGAAAACCCGATGCTTTATTCAATTGATCTGCAAGAACAGGTGTTCTAATCAAAACCTGGGATTTCTTCCGTCAATTCCTTATATTTGGGCCAACATATTCTTCTATCTTGCCTTGAATCCTCTACTCATATAGTATGAACTAAGTCCAATTTCTTGGACTTTGATATTTCGAGATTGGGCCTATGGACATACGAAACATAGCAGGAATAAACATCCTTGCTAGGTCACAAATTTGGACACCTCTCAAACACCTACGGGGTAGAGTGTGCAGTCATGGGTCATAACCTTGCATTTTCAGACTGGATAAATCATGCACCGCACAATAGGACGAATGGTTCTCCTTCAAAGGCGCAGCCTACGGTCCCTCCGTTATCAATTATAACTCTCAATCATTTCGTTAAAACGTGGCAATCCTCGGGGCAGGGATACCGAAACATATTCCCCAGATTTCCTAACGGTTTGGCACGTGGATTCTCGGGTGATTCTGGGGCGATACAAAATCGAACTGACGGAACAATAAAAAGACTTTCTGGGGCTTTCCTGTCAGAAATGCAGTCAGGGGAAGAAGACCAGGTGATACCACATGTGCGCGATGTGATTCCAATAGGTGTTGTTGAACCCACTTAACTGTGCCCAACAAGATATCAAGACTACAGCCTGAAAATGGACATATAAGAGGTAAGACACGTCTTACAACAGGCGAGTCTTGGCTTCCCCTTCAAAAGCAAAGAATACGATCTATCGACGAACATAAGTCAACCCTACGATGAGCATTCGTATCATGGGTATTGATTGAGTCTCCATGGCCAAGTAGTCTAAGCTGAAGACTGATATCGATCTGTTAGACTGTAGACCCGAATGGAGGATCGCAGACCCGTACATTTCTTTGACCAAGATACTTTCAGAGCAGTACATACCATTTCTGCACATGCGCATGCAGGTATGCCTTAGAGTACTTTATCAAATGGAACTCCTAGTTCAAACACGATGGAGGCCGAGAAATATCTGGGGTTGGACAGTTTCTGATATATTGGATGGTTAGCAATTTCCGGATTCTTGAAGGTGTTTCGATATGTTTAATAATATCATCACTATCAGCTAGCATCTCTAGAGCACCTTGTGCATGCAGATGAGAAGACTGGCTGTCAGTTTCATGGAGAACCTTCTACTCGAGTTCCATCGAATCAAGTTTTGTCTTTGTGATGATAAGGAAGAAAGGTATCGGGTTTAGGTGTAGGGTGGTTGGATAAAACGACTAAGTGGATTCGAATCAGTATAATTGCCCTGAGTTCGCTCCCTGGTCCTTCAGATGACCTTTGTTCCATACTCTTTCTCTCCTTTTTTTTATTTCCTTTTTTTCTGAACATAAAATTGGGCTGGTTGGCACTTTTTTATCATTCAAGCTCTTTTACTTCACGAGAAACTTTGTTCTACCAAACATCCAAGAAACGAGGATTCTTCTCCAGTCGGAAGGCCGGGTCCAGATGGCTATTGGGAATGTGAAAAGAAACACAATCGAGTTGATACAAAGCGCAATTCACCTACAAAGTCAAGCCTCATAATTCATGAGTTAACAACAAAAGCCTCATCATTCATAGTAAGAAATGCCAAGATGACCAGATCTCGCCTCAATTCTATCATACTAGCCATACCATGCATTTATTCAACACTAACTAATGCTAAAAATCTTCGTGATAGATACCGAATTGTGTTGTCAAATATTTACATACGAAACCTCCTCCAAACTTTCGATAAGCCATCACGGATAAAGAGGTGTACGCCAGAGCAGTTAATGAATCAAAGTCACACTAGCCTTACAGTTGTCACCTAGGTACTTATACAGACAGACATATACGACCATCATCACTAGCATCCGCATTAATAACACTACAGGATTGGTCGATACAACCTCCGTTTAGACACCGCTGTCCACTTGCTTTTAGTGTTGGGCTCTACTATCATTCACTCGCACGCTACATGATGCTAAGTCATGAGCTCACAGGTTCTTCTTATAGCAACATGTGCTAAGGCTTCTCTGTTACTACTCCAACATGAACCTGTTAGCTACAGTGTTTAAGCAAAGGTTCTTCGTCGACAACAAATCAGGTACTCCCCTTATACACGAGAAACTTCATGCGACTGACAGTTAATTATGAAGTAAAGCTCGCCCATACAACAAAATGCCTTGACTTGGCTGCAGTGTAGCTCATCACGATGTCTAACTCATTCGCTCAGGTTCGGCCCCGTCTGATGCAGGAACAGTCGCATCTGCTCTTGCTTCTATAGCTTATTCTGCTCTTCTCCCAATCCAGAACATCTGCAGGACTGAAGCGAGGTCTCGGAATCTGATAACTTCCAACCAAAGACTTTGATCCTCGGCACTTATGGTGCCTACATTGTGTCAGAGGAAAATTTTCACCCCAAACACTCGGTGGTAGATCAGGGGTACGGAGACACGACATGCTCAACCACTTTGCGATCCGCGCGTGAAGGCTTGACGTGGACAGTTGACCTCATTCAATCCAAATGGGAAAGTGCTCCCTCGAGTTCTGCATAATGATGATTTTCGAGCAAAGGAAGGGCTTTTATCTATGCACACAATGCTTCAGTTTCGAGCCAAAATTTTTAAGAAAATCAAAGTGCGGGATGACGGAAGAAGCGGGTTTCGTCGGTTTCTGGCCTGGCAGTATTCAAAACTTGGGGAGAAGGTATATTTGAGAACAATCCTATTTTACAATCTGTACCTAGGTGCTCGCTTTTGCGAAAACCTTGATACTTGCCGTTGATTGGAAAATCAGGCGCTCAAGAAAACGGCGACATCCTGGGCGGCGATTCTGTGGTTGACACGTTGACCGACATATCGGCCTATCTTATCCACCCAAGACAAACCCCGCGGTCAACGTGTGGGGCTTTTACTCCCACGTACCCAACGTTCGACTTACCTGTTTCTAGTCTTGGGACTAACCGTATGAGTAGTCATCGGTACCTGAGCGACGGGAAAAAATAAAGCTTGCCATAGATGAAACTCACGGAGGCTCCGCCTGGTCATTCCTATGGCCTCATCCCTATGCTTGAGGCTGATTCCTTTCACAGCTATGACAGGGGTAGAGTTGAAGCGGTACCACAATTCCGGGAGTAAAACCCAAAACATTTATGCAGGGTCTGCAACTGCAAGCCTCCCACGCCCCGGACACGTTGTTCCTTGTGAACAGAATTTGTTGCCTTCAACTGCTTCCGTGAACTATCTCATGCTTAGGTCAAGGAGGTTTCCAACCTGCATCGTTAGCAAACATGAAGGCGCAGGCAATTTCAGTGCAGAGAGAAACCAGCGCATCATTGATTCAGTGCAAATGATCTTCAATCTTCAGGTTTTTTTTCTCTCGTTATGTCTTAACTTTCCCCTTAGCCCGAATTCTGTTGGTCTGCAGAACTCCGCTGTCAGTTTCTGGCCCGCTCTTCGGTCTATTCATTCGCTACTAACGGCTGCCTCATTCGCTTGGTCACTATCCGATTGATCAATGACCGTTAGAAAGCTTCATTCCTTCCCCTCTTCCCGGTACCCCGTTTTTCGCATTGGTTCATCATATGTTTATGGGGGCGATCGACTAATGGGCGGCCTCAACATACGAAACGGGAATAACGAGAATAGGAAAAGCAAAGACTCTGATGCGTGATCCTGTATATGTAATCCAACTAATGACGATCTTACTGGTGAAGACATTATAAAAATATCGTGGGCTCTCCCCGAATGCTCCACTCCTATCTTGTTTGACTAAAAGAAGCCTGCACTCTGTTTCCAATTGTTCATTCTTCCTCTCATCTTCTCTATATTCCAATGCTTATATCCCCTTGATCATCTATCAAATCACATTTGCCGAGTTCCACGTATTCAGAATTCACCAATATCTCTTCTGCTTCAATTGAAACTAGATTTTGAACCCGGATCCCATTGAACACATCGGATCCTCCCGCACAACACACGTCAACAAGACTCAATTACAGGAGAATTTGAACTGACCTTTTTTTCTTTAGATACTCTAACATTTCTTTAAGTTCACAGGCATCGACGCAATTCAACTTCTCATTCTTCAGATCTCTTAGCTACCTCGGCACACCATCGAGTTCTATCGTATATCATATTTTTATCCTCCGGAAGGAACTGCAAGCTCTTCATGTTTACCTCATCAAACTCTTCAGTAATGGCAACCCCCAAAATGCTGCTGGCAGCTATCCTATTATCTTTTGTACTACTATCCCTTATTGCACCTTCATCAGCACATATGGTCATGTCCGACCCTCCCCCAATCAACTACAAAGACAACCCGTTTTATCTAGAATCGAAAGGCGATTTCGATTATACAGCTCCAATTTCACCCTCTGGTTCCAATTATCCTTGTAGAGGACATTTGGATGACTTGGATACCCCTCAGGGAGGATCTGTTAAAACCTGGGCTGCAGGAAGTACGCAGACCTTAACGTAAGCCAATTTTTCGTATAATTGAATATATACTTGATTTGAATACTATAGATGCTAATTTCTACTCTCATATAATTTAGAATTGCTGGTTCAGCTGTTCATGGAGGTAATAAATATCTGTTCTTAAAATTAGTTTAGAAACTATTGATTAACGTTGTTTTGATAGGTGGATCTTGCCAAGCCGCTCTTTCGTACGACAAGGGAACAACATGGATTGTCATCAAATCCTGGATAGGAAACTGTCCCCACGCCACTCCCGGCGGAGATCAAACATTTAAGTTCCCAATTCCCAGCAGTGCACCTGCCGGTGAAAAAGTGCTTTTTGCATGGTAATTGTTCCGCGCGGGCCAGGCTTCTTCGGGCGAAAACGAGTCTAATATAGCGCCAATAACAGGACATGGTTTAATAAGGTTGGAAATCGCGAAATGTATATGAATTGTGCAGTTGTCACGATTACCGGTGGCTCAAGCAAGTTAAAATCGAGAGCACTTAGTGGCCCGACCATCTTCCTTGCCAATATTGGCAACGGCTGCACTACAGCTGCAGGCACAGACGTTGTCTTCCCAAACCCGGGAGATACTGTTGAGTATGGAGGAAGTGAGAGTGATCGGGCGCCGCCCTCTGGTAGCTGCGGATCGGGCGGGACTGGGACTGCTGCAGGCTCTGGTAGTGGTACAGGAAGCGGTACAGGGAGCGGCACTGGGAGCGGTACAGGCAGTGGTACTGGCAGTGGCTCTTCAAGCTCTGGTACAGGCACGGATACCGGAAGCGGACAAGGTGAGACCGTAATTTCATTTTCATATGGTTCTAGCGCTGCTACTACTGCATACTCTCCTCCTCAATCTTATACTACGTTGTATCCTTCCTCTCTTAATACGCGTTTGTCTACGGTAGTGGTAGGGGGTGGCCTCCAAACCTCAATGATTTACTCATACCCGACTGCGACGATTGGTGGTGGTAGTGGTGGTGTTGGGGATAGCGCGGCAACTAACGTTGTTCCTGGGACTGCCGGTTCGAATCTAGGATGCGCATATTGGAGAACACAAGGTTATGTTTGCAGTGATGCTTCGCCATCACTGCTAGGCAAATTCACATTTATGAATATCGCCTTTGGTTTCTTAGCATTTGGTTGGATTACACTGAGAGTGTTTTAAACGCCTCAGATGAAGGGGGAAGGAAGAAAAAAAGAGCAAAAAACCCGACATAAGAAGGAACGGAACAAAAGCGGGTTTCTCACATAATTCCTATTTTCTTAACTCTTTCTTTTGCACTTTCATTTTTGGGAGTTGACTTGATTCTGCATTATAATGGGGCGCATTATATTCCTTATTTTCTAGGCTGGTCCTCGGAGCTGGTTTTCCTGCATTGGGTTGCGATGAGGATTAATGGGGCGACATTTCTTGGAGGCCGAAGATCAGGCGTAGGCGATATACTATATTCTAGCTGGTTCTAGGGCCTAGTTTTCTTTTTATTGTTGTTTGGGTTTCATGGTTGTGGCGTTACTAGGTTTAGGGTTTCTCATACTGTTTCTTTACATGGCTACGTACGCGTCCATAACTTCTTTCTTTGAATATTTTCTTTTGTTTAGCATATTTGTGTTAGGGGATGTCTTTTCTATGAGTATATATATACGGCTGGGTATTTGGGGTACGTTTATCAACTTAAGTATGTAGTTAGAAATTACTGATAGAATAAAACTACCAGTTCTAAAAAAAAAAGCTGTTCCAGATTTCTAGTAAGTAAAACATGTACAGAATACGAATAAATGATTCTTAAATAATTGTAAAACAGACCTCTCTCCGGGGGATTTATATCACAAGGTATCACTCGCTCTTCTTGGTTGCAATGTCCGAACTAGGTTAGTGCACTCGCTAATTCCAGGTAGAGTATGATACGAGCTAACTATATGAGCTAACTACGAGTACTAATCTGAACACGGTCTGTCTACTAGTTACAGTATCAGAAATGGGGGTAAAACTGATACCGCATCAGTACGGCATTGTGAGAATAGTTACCGCAGTGGTACGGCATTGCCAAAGACTGCGGTAGTCATTTTATCCATGTTCCTGTCACTGTAATGCCAGAAATTTGGTCAGATGTTCCTACCAGTAGGGTAATATTACTCTACCCTTTAACCGAATCATTCTCCATCATTAGTGCCGGATCAGGCTCTATGAAGTACCGAATCATTCTCCATGAAGTAATGCCGTATTACAAGTAATGCCGACAATTCCATATGCTATTTTACCTATTATTCTGAAAGCTACGCATTAGATACTCAAGGCTCCACACCAATATGAGATTACATGACTCATATAGTTGTAGGTCAGTACTTGGTCGCTGAATAATTATTGAACTAGACCGATGTATAGGCATTAACTTGATCCAACTCTACAAGGGGACTCCTCTGTCTCCGACATTCGGAGCACTAGTTCAATTGTAAGCACCTCGATTAATCTCTAGACCACCAATCAATATTCTCATCTCTTCAGGGGGTGGCGGTGTTATCTGTAGTTGAAATTTCATTAGAGTTGTTTGCACCGGCGCTCGATCCTAGCTAGCAACAAACATAAGCACTTCGAGTACAAAATGGAGCTCATGTCTCAAGGCTCAAATAGACAAATCAACTGATAGGGCGCTTAAGTTTTTTGTACATACGAACCTGCCGTTATCGAGACGCTTACTCAGTTGTTCGGCAAGGACATGAAGCATCAATGCGTTTTCTGCAGAGTAATCGATTTTTTTTTACTACATACGTGTGGTGTATCTAATTTAGACTCGTAATCTGTGGGGGGGGGGGGGGTGTCAAAATTATAAGCGCCCTCATGACACACAATTGCATGTATGAAGAATGCTGATAATCGAATGTTGCACAACGATTGCGGTGGCTTGTGAATCCAGGAACTTAAGAACCATATATTGCACGTGGTGCCACATATGGGGAAGCAGCGTTCAAGAAGCTTAAGGGCGACTACTCAACTTACGTCATTACACCATTGATACATCACGTACCTACATGTATGTAGCCAAGCTGTATTATCTTCTTTCGAGCCCATCTGTTTCTCCAGATCAATTCTCGTCACGTAAGACTTGCAGATGGAATGGCAGGTGGGAGGCTCAATACTGTGAATTATCAGAAGGACGTGGCCGTGAAAACAAAAACGCTATTTTTATATCAACTTCAACATACACCGTACGAATATTTTTCTAGCTTACCATGGTAGTAAAGCTTAACTTCCCGTAGCCATTCTAGACCTATCTTTAGGGATTAGCCACAATCAGCAGATAGTTTCATTAATTCGATGGATTAGATTAATCGATGATAAACTATATCCTTAGAAAAACTATGCTTGCGTGAGCACGATCATATCAGAGCAGTTTATTTTCTCCTCGGAAGTATAGTTAGCTGCAAATAGTTAAAATCTATTGAAATTTTTAAAATGGCCGGCCAATGTTTCAGGGTTAGAGAAAATGTAAAAGGTTTCAGAAGGCGAAACATGTCATTCGATCCAAACCGAGACCTTTTATATCTCGGGCCTATTTTCACTCTTTTATTTAAGTTGCTTTAATATGAACTGCTTGAACTGCGCCACAGAAATTTAAAGCGAGGAAGACATTGCCTCTTATGTAGGTACTGTACCACCAATCATTTGTCACTGATACTACTGCCAGTAGGTACATACATGCAATGATCTAACCAAAATGCGGTAGGACGTGGTCGGTCAGAAAATAATCTAGAATGCAGCGCGAACCTCCCTCTTAACCGATCTAAGTTCCTTCTTTAGTAGGGGCTAAGATATGAATACTGGGGAATGCTTGTTCGGTTTTTTACCCGTCACTAGATACGCGTGGGCCTTTTTAAACCGTTCCTGTCCTCTGATTTATGACGTTCAAGGCTTGAGGTGACCATGGGGAGAGAGTAGACTCGGAGAAATGGACACGCAGAAATCAGTGCGGTCGTACATGGTCACAGCAAGGTCGCACAAACTCCGTATTAGATGACATAATAGCATGATAAAGGATACCAACGGCAAGAAGGTACTCTAAGAATCAATGAGACAATCGAAGGGTCGACGCTTGATTCTTGATAGGGGCTCACCTCATACCCTACTGGCAGTGGCAGAATGCGAGTGAGTGATAATGATCAGGACCGATAGTCACCGGAAGTTTCCGAATGCAGAAGCCCTTTGGCAGTTAAAAAAAGTACCTAGGACTGAGAAGGAATTCCTACCTGCTGACACTTTTTAGCTGTGACGCATCTTTTGAGTTTCTTTAATTATCATTCGATGTGCACTCTCTACAATTATCATGATGTTCATGGGAAGCTGCTGCTGTTCGTTAGGGTATTGTGCTTGTTCATAACTCTGGTTGTCCGGAACCGTTATGATATGAACAGCAGAAGAGGGCTTATTTGTTCCAGAAAGCCTTTTTGGGAATTTGCATTTTAGTTCTGAGATGATCCACCTATTTAGGGTGCCACGAAGATGAAAACAGTTAACCCAGCTCGTAACATAGCCCAACACTAATTCTTTCGGTAAGTCCATACGATGATCTCACCGCGATTAGGGAAAGTAGGAGGGCTACGATTAGAAAAGGAAGATTAGATAGATATTAGGGAATGGGGCTCTTTGCGGCTGAGGCTTGGCGAGACCACGCGGGTCGCTCGGTGCCCGTTTAGATCAGTTAGTTTCTTTTTAAAGACGCTGCTAGGCGGCACCTCAAGGCTCACCGGGGGAAAGAAGAATGTGCCCCTCTCCCTTTTCCTCGCTAAGTAAATAGGGTTGGAGTAAAAATTGGGGGGAAGGGAATTCTGGTGGATTGCCATCATGAGCACTGCTGTACTGGTTGAATAGAGTGTCTGTCGTATGGAGTTTATCCTTTTTTACGGGAACTGAGTCCGAAAGCTGCTTTATGAAAAAGTCGTAGAAGCACAAACTCACGATGCACCCTCACCACTCGATCAGCCCTACTTAGCAACCAAATGACCAGAAAGGGGTAGTTCCCCCCACCTCCACCTCCACGCTGCAGGACTGCACCGCACAGCCACCACAAATTCCTGAGACCTGGTATGCATGCTGATTCGACTGGTAACTGCTTACTGTTTGGGGGAAGTTCCTGGGTTGCCAGCAGGCAGCAGCCAAAGGTAGAGTAACCGACAAGCTGCAGGCCAGAAAGCTCACTGCTCTCGTACTTCCCCCGCCCTTTCCATAGGAAGTACTCGCGACAAGCATGAAGTACCCGAATATGCAGCTGCAAGTTTTTGGTGTATTTTTGACTTCTACTCCAATGGAAATTGCAGATTAGGACGTGCATTTTCGGGTACTTTTTACCTCCTGCGAGTAGATTACGGCATGCACAAGTGAGATAGATACTGCAGATACGTTTCGGAGGGGTTTCTCAGTCAGCAGTACCAATCTGCTCGAGATTCTCCTGCTCTAGAGTTTATTTCCTCATGAAGAGAGATATCTTGCCTTCTGGTTTCTCCTGGACAGGGTGAGTGAGTGAGTACATGGACTTATCAGTTGGGTGCTCTACTTACGTCTCTCTCCTGTGTGTAACCTCCCAACTATCGTCTGTGAAACGAGAACAAGTACCTAGTGGTTGTCTCATCCGGCTTTGTGCTTGTGCGTCTGTTCAGTGGAAGCTACTGCTCCGCCTCTGCCACACCTCCCCTCCACCACCCCCTCTTTTCGCCGAGTTGGTCGTCCAGCCGCACGGCTGAACTCTAGCAAAAAAGAGAGCCAAAAGAAAAAAAAAAGCTAACATCTCTCTCTCTCACTCTCTCCCTCCTTCTTTCAATCTCCTCCTATTCTGAAATTATCATATCTCACTGATCCGTCATCACCTTCGCTCCTATCTTGAGGTAGAGGTTACTATTAACACTGCCAGTGCCATTTCTGGCTGCTACTCTCTTAACCTCCGATTAACCAGAAACCGCTGGTTTCTTGTGTTTGCGGATCTTCTCTGTGTTGAATCCTCTCCTCGTATCCTTCGTTTGGTACATCGTTTTTGGAGTTGTTGTGTTGTTGGTGGAAGGAAGTCTGCACTTGAGACCCGATCTCTAAACTTTCACTTTCAGCCTCACCATTGTCAACCCTCCCTCCACACTCGACGACTCCCATTACCATCCACCCCTCATCTCCTGTCAACTTATCTTTCTCTACACCACTGCCTCTTTCTTACCCTATAAACACTATCGTCTCCCTACCGCACTTACACGATGTCTACTCCACTCAGTAGCCGTCTTAATCGTTTCGGCTTTCCCGGTCGGAAGGCTAGCAGCGCTAATAATAATAATCCATCGCCTCCACCGAACCAAGGTCAGTCTTCCGTACCGCCTCCAACCGTTGGCCAGGTTGGCCAGGTAGTTCGACCGTCCTCATATCCGCCTCCATACCAAGGTCCTTCTCCAGGAGTACCACATCCCGGTCCCGGAGGCGCAAATAGACCTACAAGCCCGATGCCACCTCAAGGTCCATACGGCCCTGGCCAGATCGGAAGCATTCCTCCCAGTCTGCCCCCACCAGGGATGATGCATCCTCCTCCAGGAGCCGTTGCACAATATGGCCACCCCCCACAGTATGCAGGACAGCCGCACATGAACCACAGAGATAGCCATGGCAACACAATGGGCCACCCCAACCATAGGCCAGGAGCTGCGGAGGTTGAAGGCACAAACAGGAGCAAGGCGCAGTTGATTGTCGGGATTGATTTTGTCAGTGATGATCTTAATATCTGATTATATCGTTTCGGCTCAGCGGAACTGGGGAGAAAATCAAGCTAACGAGTAGATTTTGGTGATAGGGAACAACCTTTAGTGGTGTTGCTTTCGCTTTCGCAACAGACCAAGAGGCCAAGGAGGACATTATTACAGAGTGGCCAGGTGCAGGTAACCAAACTAAGAACAAGGTTGGTTTTAAGCCTCTAAAAAGCTTGGTAAATGAGTACTAAATTCCGTCATCTTAGATCCCAACGGTTCTTTACTACGACCAATACCAAAAGGTGGTTGGCTGGGGTCCTGATATCGCCGATGCCTTGGCTCCAACTGGATACCCTAAACCTGGTGTGCAAAAGGTATATATCATCCATAGCAACCACTCTATGATCTTGATCTATAAAAAACCCATTCTGCTTTATCAAGCGTTATCTATTTTTTATATCTTGATATACATGAAGAACTTTAAATTGTTAAGCTTTTTACGTATATGGAGAAATTTAGAACATTATTTTAGGTTGTATTTGCTTATAGGATACTGACATATTCTATAGGTTGAATGGTTTAAACTTCAACTCATGCTTTCCGGAAACACATATATCGATCCCATCAACCTTCCCCCACTTCCCCCTGGAAAGTCCGAGATCGATGTAGCGGCAGATTACCTCTTCAAGTTGCGTCAAGCTATGCGTGCTCAGCTGCAAAAGACACTAGGAGAGGTTTTCAACCGTGAGGAACGCAATATCCGTTACTTCCTTACTGTGCCTGCTATTTGGAACGATGCTGGAAAGGCTGCAACTAGGGCCGCTGCCATCCAGGCCGGATTCCTTAGAGATGAAAACGACAATAGGTTGACATTGATTACTGAGCCTGAGGCTGCCGCTATGTTTTGCTCAAAGACCGGTCTATTAAATCTTAAAGTTCATGACGCAGTTTTGATTGTCGATTGTGGTGGTGGAACCGTCGATTTGATTGCATACGAGGTCGAGGAGGAAGTCCCATTCACAGTGGCTGAATGTACTGCTGGATCTGGTGATTCTTGTGGCTCAACAGCACTCAACAGAAATTTCTCAAATATTCTTCGTGCCAAGATTCGGAAGATGAAGCTTCCAGATGGATCCAAGTCTGCCGGGAAGGTTTATGCAAAGTGTATCATGGACTTTGAGAATCGTATCAAGGCGGATTTCAGGAATAATGGACAGAAATGGGCAGTGGATGTGGGTATCGAGGCTGAGTTCCCAGAAGCTGGGATTGAGGAGGGTTACATGACTTTCACCAATGAAGAAATTCTACAGTGCTTCGAGCCTGTCGTCAACAGAATTTTGGAGTTGGTTAGAAATCAAATCATTGCCATCCAAGCGCAAAACAGACAGCTTCAGGTAGGCTTGTCCCCACTGATTACTCGTTATATTACGGATTACTGATATTATATCACAGAATGTTTTGGTTGTCGGTGGTTTCGGTGCATCAGAATATCTGTTCCAGCAGATCAAGCTTCACGTGCCTCCACAGTTCCAGTCAAAGGTTGTTCGTCCTATGGACTCTGTAGCTGCCATTGTCAAGGGTGCCGTTACTGCTGGTATCACCGAGAAGGTCGTAACATCTCGTGTGGCCCGTAGACATTACCTTATGGCTACTCTACAGCCTTTCAAGGAAGGCCACCACCCCGAGCAATACCGTGTTCCCAGTCTTGATGGAAAGGATCGCTGCAAATACACCCGCCAGATCTTTGTGACCAAAGGACAGCGTGTCAAGATTGGCGAGCCCGTCAAGGTCTCGTTCTTCAGACAGGTTGCTCCTGGTGCAACACTTATGTACGAGGATATTTTGTACGCCTGTGACGACGATGTTTGCCCAGAATACACCAAAGATCCACGTTAGTCCCCTTGAAATGATTCTTGTGATGCTTGGTAGCAATTACTGATATACCTTTGCTCAAATAGGTATTAAGGAAGTCGTTACCCTCACCTCTGATCTCTCGCGGAAGAACCTCGAGAAAGATTTTGAGCGCATGGATACGCCCCAGGGAACATTCTACAGGGTTTACTTCGATATATATCTCACTCTTGACGGGTCTGAATTCAATGCCGAGCTTGTGTGCCAAGGAGAGGTCATGGGTAGATGTGTCGCCAAATTCAGATAGACAAGTGCCGCGGTTTGTTTAGAGTTTAAGGGGGATCTTTAGAGCAATTTAAAGGACACACTGGTTCCTGGGAATGGAATAGTTGATTTTTGAAGGAGCAAAATGTGGTGTTTGGGGCGGTGTGGTCTGAATTACGGTAGCATGATTGTGTCTTTTGTGGTGCTTGGCTGTTCCGGCATCGTTTCTTCCCCCCTTTTATCGTACTTGCGTCATATCCAATTTCATTTACTTTATTTCTACGTCTTCATGGCAGTTACGCAATGTACTTAACAGTGTGAAACAGAAACACGGCCCTTTCATTTCTATCTACTCTCTGCCATGTTTTAATGTCTTTCTGCATTATTAATATTGTACCTACACCGAATTACTGTGAATCAGAGATTTCACGATGAAGAGTATTTAGAATGTAGTGATTGACGTACGATAGTTTTTTTTTAGTACTACAGCACTTGATTTGTACCAAGTTACTACTCTAACTACACACCTGTACCTAGTCGTGCGACGAACGGACCTTTCCCCGTATTTACATCAACAATCCCTGTCCGTTTGACCCTTGGTCTTTCGTCTCTGGGATTTAAGTAGTACGTCATTTGGTCATAGCGGTATTGACCAATCAAATATTGAGCGCGCTGGTCGTGCTTAAGTGCAGCTGGATGAAAGTATTAAGGACAATATACTGATATCAAGGTCGAAGTCTGCTTAATACGGTGGTTTCTGGGCCATTGGCCAGGCAGATAAAAAGGTAATGACCAATTCGTCATCGGACTAGTTCTGCAATTGATCCAGAAACGATCTATAGATCTGACTTCAAGCCTACTGGTAAGGCAGTATCGTTACCAGAAAATTTCTGGAAACTCTATCTTTGTGGGGATATCCCGAAGCACATAAAAGTATACATGATATCTGACTATGGGCGTCAGTCTGTGAAAATTAGCGCGGGTTAGCATTAGTTCCGAGACATGTGGTTGGTGGGTAATTTACATCATGAATTATCACTCGAACAACTTCCACTCACCCAGTAAATGCTTTTGAATTTCTCTCATCCGGCACTGGCTATACCGCTCCAACGTTCTGATTTCAACTCTAAATCTGGCCCTCAGAATCTGCAGGCGATGATTGTGTTATGAACCTTACCGGTGTCTGACCTAGTCCTAGTCCCAATCATATTAACGCGGGGATATCCACATATCTCACAAATACCACATTTTCAACCTAACATGTATGCAGGTGTTGTATCCACATTCCGATCATAGCTGCCACTCTGCTTGACCTGGAGGGCAAATCTTTTGGAACCAGTGTCCAGTAGCTTTGGCTCACAGACAGAATTACATCTCACTGGAATTACGTGTGGATTCTCTTTGTTCATGAGAGGAGTTTATATGGTGAACACAGTGGAAACTTGGGTTGAAGGGATGGAGTTTCGGGCTGTGAATATTTGTGTGTAGGGTTGGCTTGTGACTGTTGGTTGCTTCTGTAGAGAGCCGGTGGTGGGAGGAGTGGAAGTTTCGAGATTTCAATACGCTGCCATGGCCATGTCGCGGTCATGTCGACTCGGGGGTAAAAAGTTTAGTTCTGTGAATAGTTCATTTTGGTCTTTTGGTTAACGCTTAGTGAGGGATTTGGTATGGGGGGAGGGGAGGTGTACTTGGACTCAAGATCACTTGGTCGTCGGTAGATATATGTATCTGGTGGATATGATGGACCTAGTTAGCTACAGACGATGATAATGGACCTCTTCCACATTGTTGATATAAATTCGAAAAGTGTAGTCGTGAAAGACGTCCTATATATATAGCCTTTTGTATATTGACATAAATTCTGTTATTAATGACCTGATTGGGGAGAAAAAGGGAAATGAAGCACAATTTCCTAGCCTCCATTACTCGAACTCCAGGACTTCGGCATAGGTCTTTTCTAAGGGCAAGAAATCGTTCTTAGTACATCACCGGCTCAACTGATAGATAGTTTTATGCCAATCGGACCAGACTTAGACAAAGAGAGGGTGTTAGCTTACGGTCTCAGATTTGCAGTATCAATACCTGCGAACCCGTCCACCGAGAACTAGTTACTACCCGCGGCCTCTCGCTCTTTCGGGGCGGCTTCCGACCACCATATCCGCATTCTCTGACTGACTGAAATGGTGGCGGTGGCGTCCCGTGTCTACGACACTTTGGGCGTCTCGACATTCCTACCCCGCTCACTGGTAGGCTCGCTCGCCGGCGGCCTTGACCCGCCCCAAGCTTCTACAACAAGTACCCGTTCCTACAAATCAGCATGCCGATGTTTGTTCATCAATAGGCCTTCCTGGTATGTGAAGAGTAGTAGAAGTGGTATCACCCAGAGCTAATGGTGGAAGTCAGCGTCATCTCGAGGGCCCTTTGAGCGGTGACGACGCCGCCGTGGAAAGATGCGGCTGCGGAGCTCGTAGGGGGAAAGATTGAGGGGGGCATACAGAAGTAATTGTAGCGTATCAAAGTACAAAGACTGGGGATGATGAAATTTGTTGAAGATCTCGATGGACTATAGCTTGTTTTGAAGTTGGGATACAGCATATCGTAGGAAAACTGAAGAGAAGTAGCCATGACAGATCGTACTTACGTGCTCATAGTGTTTTCAGCCACGTACAGATAAACCAACCATGATCCGCCATGAATTACTTATCAATCAATGATCTCCGCCATGAATTACTTATCAATCAATGATCTCCGCCAAGAACCTGAATCATGATACATCACTCGCTCGGAACAGCAATGAAGGATTCATCAAACAAAAAAACACAAGCCATCATCACAAGTGAGACATAGCCTGTGGTACCGATGTGTAGAGACTATGATTGTTTTTTCTTTCTCTTGTTGTTTAATTCATTAATTGTATGATTGTTGCGGAACAAACCAAATTAAATCCTGCTTCGTATTCTTTTACGGTACCGTGTTCTCACTGCACTAGTGTGGTTGGTCATTGCTTGGCGGCTTTAGTCCCATTCAATGTAAACTCGTTCATCAAAATCTCATACTTTCAAATCATATCACTACACCGAAGCATCTTTAACTTAAACTACCCACGAGATTAGGTATCCACCAATATACCTCTCAAGCCTGACGCTACAAAAACATCTAGAGTACCCAGACGCTCATCCGACCAGTTCAAGCCATTGAATAGGGCAATGGGAACTCAATCGTCTCTGGTTCAGACTGTACTATATATGCAGTTCCCTTCTTCCCAGGTAACCCTAGCTACAAGAGCTGTAGTAGACACGACCTGCATCTTCTTAAGAATCGAAACGAGCTTGGAGAGACCTTTTTAACTTCATCAATCAATGTATTGCCCAGCGGTCTCCCACAAGATCCACAATCATCTCTGATTGGAATATTGGTGGTCCTATTATCTTTTCTCGAAGGGCTCACAATATACACAGTCAAGCCCTTCGGTTGAATCTTCTTGAAACTTTCACTATCCCCTTTCCTCTCTCTCCAACCACTAACTACGCTAGGTCTACCTCCTTGGTCATCAATTTGAATGGGATTCTATCAAATATCTCAAAAGATAGTTTCCAGCCCTCCCATCCCCACAGCTATCGATATGGAGCCCAAAGCTCCTACCTAATACTCTTGTGTAATTGTCAACTCTCAATTATACTCGGGCCTTATGGACCCATAATACCCTGTTCCGGACTCTCAGCCAACCGCTACAACTCACATCATGATTAATAAGACTATTGAGATACTGAATGGAACGAGGTAGGTTATCATCGCACAAGAAATCCCATCAATAAGTACACGTGTCTATACGGTGGCGTGATAATAGTTGCTCGATATTCTGCCGCGATAGACAGACAGGTGACAACCTTCAGGATCGCGGCTATTTGTCGAACACATCAGCGTCTACTTCTGCCGCCCGAGCGTTCCCGATCTGCGCACTAGCGACTCCTATATGTGCTCTACACCCACCCACTGGATCAGTCCATGTGTGCTAATTACCAGCTGGCTGCAGGGGCATCTCGATCTCAAACAGTCACTCGACCTCGGGACGGGACAAGTCGTACGAGATTGAACCGACGGTTCGGATTCGGATTGCGCGGAGAAAGTGCCACATAAGCTATTGCGTTTAAGATTTCCATACACATGCGCATAAAAGATAAACCGCCGTGAATGCTTATCAAAAGCCCTATACTTTAAAAACGCCCTCAAAACAAGATTAACGGGGAATTGCTGGAGTATTTCGTACAAAAAAGGGGCACATGTAATTCCAAATCTCCAAATTACGGTTCTACAATTGGACTTGGATAAGGCCTTTGTGGTTCTGCGCATGGCCATATCGAAGATTCGGGATACTGCTGTTACATCCTGACCCCGAGGATATTTGAGCGTCATGTTTGACATCAAGACTGGCCGAGACCGCTATGAAAACGGGGCCGGATTCACTATAACTGTATAGTTTAACGGCAATTGCCGTAATAGTAATAAACCGTTTCTGGTTAAAACAAAAAAATACGGCATGGAAAATACCATTGCCATTCCCAGATAATCATGCAGGTACGCCTAACCGCTTTTGTATGGAAAAATTATTGGCAGGGAACATGAAGTATCCTGGGAAACATTTTTAATCCGGATTGCCGGACAGGACATGTCATGCAATGGCCGGGACATCTACTCGCTGGCATTCACACATACCCCCTCTAACTTCACACATGGATCAAACATTACATTCACTCAAGAAGATCAATGCCGTCCAACATTATCACAAGCAGAAATCCATAGAGCCAGCCTAGGTACATAGCTACTCGTAATATAGTACCTGCGCACGGTTCTTGACAGCTTTGAAAACACGTACTGGTATTGGCCCACGAACCACCTCCAGTGCTCTAATGCATTGACCCCGAACCACTGTGGCGCCTTCCCCCCACGTACTGGGAATCTTTAGGATGAGATCCAGGATTCTTGACAGGGACGGGATTGGTGCAGGTACATACATGACATTGTGTATATGTACGCACATGAGGTGGGGAATACTGCGGGTCGGGATATGTGAGGCTTTCGCTCGTCTCGATTGTCGATTAATTAAGCCCTTCCGACATGGAACATTAAATCGAGGTACATCCTCCTGTCACATTTATACCCCCATCCCATCCCATCCCTTATTACATACGCAAGGAGGGTATGTAAGCATCCTCTCCTCGCCCCCAAGTCATTGCCACCTGCATACGTAAGAATAGCATACGCGGATATCAATCAACCTGCACGCCTTGAATTGTGGGTAAATGCCAATGCTACCCCCCCCCCGTGGCGGTTTTTTTTTTACTATGTAGCCTGACAATAGTTCGAGAACCATCCCTCGAGGTTTAAATGAGCCCTTAATAAAGTAAGACTCCCAATGTGGATCTAGTCCGAGGATGCTGGCTAGCGCTGTATCGAATGATATAAAACATGTCTGCTACCTATATGCATACACACATATACTTGGCCAAGCTCTTTCACTTAGAGGGCCTCGCCGCAGGTACGTATGGTCATGGTAGTTTTTGTCTATCATCATCTATATTAATATATACCACGCCTAGAAACAAGGGGCTTTTTATGTCATTGCAAATAACCCGAAACCGAAGGAGAGAAAAAAATAAAAACAAGAGGACCACCAGAGAAAGGTAAGTGATAACATATGGTTCGATGCTGCTGACAAAAGGAAAAAAACGGAAAATACAAAGTGGAAAAAACCAGTTAGTAGACATAACGGAACCGGGTGTTCTCCCTATCGGTCACTGTATATCTGTTAGAAAACTGGGGAGCACATGGAGCACAAGGGAATGGAACTTACTGTTTCCCCATTTGAACTCCTCAGAAATAGTGTCATCAGTCTGCTCGTTCAACTCCTGCGAACGCTTCTCCTTCAAGCTGTTCTGGTAGCTATAGTAGAACCTCAAGAGGACTGCAAACAGTGCTGCACCGGCCTGGGTAACAAGAACCGCAATCTTTGCAGGGTAAAAGCTATACCAATGTTAGCACCAATCTTTTTTTTCTTTTCGAGGACGCTGTATCAGGTGAACATACTTTGGCGCGTCCTTAGCCTGGAAAGTCTGAGGGCCAATGATATTTCCGATCGAAAAAGCACCCGCAATCAGAGACGTGGCGATAGACCGCTTCGTGTGTCCAGCAATGTTTGAAGCGGCCCAGTTAAAGACAATGATCAATACCGCGACGATCTACCGAACAAAAAGTTGAGTCAGACATGCATCTTCTTACTGTCGATCATTCCCCGCTCCCCACATATCATATCAGAATCAGAATCAGAATCAGAGACATACCGAATTGACCAAATAGATACCCGCTAAAAGGCCGCCCTTGTTGCTATTTGGCAGGAACGACATCAAGGCTCCACCAAGAGCTCCCGGAATAGCTAAGCCGGCGATCCACAACCACCTGTTTGAGCTCATACCCACTGCAATACCGGAGAGGATGGTGACTCCAATGCTGATGATGCCGGAGGGCATGTTGAGCAAGGCCGCAATGGGCGACGTGTAGCCAAAGTTCTTGATCAGGGTTGCCGAGTAAGTTGTGATAACACCGCTTGAAACCGAACACTAGTAAAAAGACACATCAGCATGCAATGCATAAATCAACTAGTGAAAAAGGATCAACGCAAGGGAAACCTACCAAAACAGTGATCATAAGCATAAAATAGATCTGCGGATCCTTTGCCAATTCCACCGCCTGCGACATCTTGAACTTCTTATTCTCCACGCCGGTTTGGTTCTCGCTGACCCGCTCCAGTACCCGAACGATCTCTCTCTCCTCGAGAAAGTTCGCGCTCATAGGGGTGTCGGGGAGGCAGAAGAATGTCCAAACGCCGATGAGTACGGTCACGAGCCCAAGGACGATGAACATGACTCGCCAGCCTTCGAGCGAGGCGTTCTTGACGTGCTGAAAGCCGTAGGAGATTATGCCGCCGACGATCTGGCCGAGTCCGAGTCCGCAGTACCAGAACCCGAAGCGGGCGGGTTGTTCCTTCTTGGTGTACCACATACCTGCATTTTGATATCAGTACCTTTCTTCTTCCTCAGGCACACTGCAGAGGGGAAGGACTCACTGGTGATAATGGTAAGACAAGGCGCAATTGCAGCCTCGAATATGCCTAGGAAGATTCTTGCAACAAGAAGGCCTGTGAAGCTCTTGCAAGCTGCGGTGCAGCCAGTAGCAACGCCCCAAAGTGCTACATTGATGGCCAAATACTTTGCCGCCGGCACCTTCTGAAGAAAGTATCCTGCACCTCACTATCAGTACCTTTCTTTTAGGCCTCGCGAACCAACATTGATAGTGATACGTACCCGTGGGGATTTCCGCAACCAAGTAGGCAATGAAAAAAGAAGTTGCAGCCCACGTAAACTGATTACCGACTAGCTTCAGGTCCTTTGGCAGTCCCATGACAGCCGCATACTACAAGGCAACATCTG